TGTTTCATCATCTTCCTGGGGACTAAAATTACCCCAAGAGATGAATAATAATTTTCTTGGAAGAGTGGGGAATTTGAAATTAATTTTCGTTGCTTTCATGGTTCATTTACTTACCTGTATCAAATGCAAATCCTTTTCTGCACTGCGTAGAAGCCGCATCTTGGAGTGAATGTTCATCAGTGTAAGGTAGAATGCACGTGGATTGTAATGTTCAGTGAGACCCCAATATGCGGACACCCCGACGTACGGACAATTCGAACTTATAGGGACACTTGAAAATATCAGGCTCAACATCCGGACATTGGCTCGATTCCGGGACACTTCTTGGAGATTTTCCAAAAGAATGGAAAATTTTTTTTTTATTTTGTTATCTTTTGAAGAAATCAAGCAATTTATATTCTCGAAAATTGAAAACAAATATTTCATGATAAATTTACTTCAGTTCGTAAACAAAAGCAAGCTGATTTTTTTTTCTTTTGACAGTTTTTTCTTTCACCTGTGCATATATTCTTTTCTAGCAAGACTTATTCTTTTTCTTTCATTTTTGTTTTCCTTTTGATACCAACAGATCAGATTCTATGTGGATTTGTGCTGCACTGTTGTTCTCTACAACTTGAAATTCAGGGGAACAATTTTTATTACAATTTTTGCGGACTTATTTCTAATTTTTCACAAAATGAGAACCAATTGAATACATTAGCATTGAAGCCTAAGGGAAAATGAGACTTGACTGGGGGACATTATGAAATCAGGACACTCTTGATGCACCAATTACATCTGCATCTGGGGTAAAAATTCCATCATTAATCTTTCAGCAATAAAAAACAGAAAAATACAAGTAAATTAGATTATACTGTATATACATACATACCTATATGTATGCATATACAGTACGTATTATACTGTACTGTATACATACAAAAACAAAAAATAGGTATGTATACATACATACCTATATGTATGTACTGTATATACAGTATAATCTAATTTATTTGTACAGTCAAAAGTGCTGTTTCCAATCAGTTTTGTCTTTGTTACAATGCCAAAATTGGGTAGAATTATAATTTCTGCCAAGGATCTTGTATTTGTAAGAAAAAAATGATGATGTTGAAAATTTTTAAAAATATATTGACCTAATCATAAAATTTGAATAAATTGATGCAGGAAAATTCATTTTCTGAAAGAGTAATCTGTTGATCACAGCAATACTTGTTGGAAAATTACTGAAGTTTCTATACAAAGCATGTATCTCTATGAATTTAGGAGGAAAATCCAGCATTTTCAATCAAATAATTTAAAATTGAATTTTTGATAAAACACCAACCTCTTTAAACCTCCAAAATTGCTCTGGACAAATGGTGGTGTCTTATTGGGGGTTGACTAGTTTTTGTTTTGTTTTTTATTGCTGAAAGATCAATTATGGAAGGTGTGACAACCATTCAGATAGCTACAAGAATTTCAATTACAGTATATTCCTCAAGGGAGAATGGTGGAATCTTGTTTTAAAAAGAGCTCTTTTAAAATTGTTTCAAGTACAGTATTTCTGTGACATTTGTTGATAGGTAAGTGGAGCAACGCGTGCATTTCAATTGTAATAAATTGAATGACGGGTAAAAAACGGGATACTGAGAACACAGCTGTGAATGTTTATCGTTGTGAAGTACTTTGTTTCAATTCTTTAAATGGCCGTAGTAAACCCGTTGAGTCGAAATGATTCATGATCCTATTAATTTTATGAACAAATTATGCGTATAAAAATTACAAAAACATTTTCAGTATCTTGACGCATTTTAGAATCAAAAACAGCGCTGGCCCTGCACCTGCCAAATCAACGAATCCTTTCGTTGCGAATGGGGGCAATGCTGAACTCGTTGATAGTGAGTTTGGGTTTTTATTTTTAGTATTTATTTCTGTGATGATTTTTTCATGCTATTCTGTCATTTATATTATTGTCGCTTTATCTGCTCGCTTTTCATGGAGACTTGTTCCTGTTGTCTTGGTAAGAACTCCTTTTTCTCTTCCCTGCTGCTGTCGTCTTTTTTTTTTTTTTATCTCTGGTTGGAAATGTATAGTGAATGTTTTTTTTAAATCTTTTTCTTTCTCACGAACTGCAAAGAGGTGGGGGTGGAGAAGAGATTATATTGGGTGTATGGAAATGTACTCGGCACTGTATTAGTTCAATTTTATTTATGATTTAGCTGTACTTCAATAAATTTATGTTTTGTTTTATCAATTTTTTTGCACAATGGACTCTGTTTGCCATCAACATTTTGAATTTAGGGATATTTTGCATGGGATCTGTTGGTTAAACAAAATTATGGCGTTACCACTTGCCAGGATATTGAAAAACTCAAGTGAAAACTTTTGTTTCCTTTTTTGAGTCATCTTTATATCAACTGTCCATTTTCTGCTGTTGCCATATTTGCTTGAGTACCATGTGCCATCAACTACATGTTGGATTTTTTGTTAAAATTGAAAAAAATTTCATGCAACTGTATAATATGCACCAACATTTTGGAAAGGTTTCAGGAAGAAATGTGCAGTATACCCAAGTATTATTTGCACAAAATATTTTGTCTCAATTTCTATGGAAAAATGTGCATGTGGTAATTGCATACCTGTAAATACAGCACAGGTGGTACCTTGCAATTTGACCCAAATCCGTTTCTGGACTAAGCTTGAATTACAAAGTGGTTGAATTGCTGGACAACTTCAAATGGCATTTTTTCTAAACGGCATTTGATGTTTCATGTCTCTCTACTGGTCAAATTTCCTGGCTGAGGTTGAATTGCGAGTCAACCTCCCAGCAAATGCAATCATTAAATTGCAAGATGGTCAAATTGTGAAGTCCTGTATATTGCAAAACAAGATCAAAATGTTTGGAAAGAAAGGGAAAATGTGCAAGGATCCTTGCTCTTTTTTCCAGATGATACAAGTAATTTTTGGGAGGTAGTTTTTATTGTTTTCACAGGCAATTGCGTTGAATTTATTATCAACCAATATTTTTATTATGCAAATCTGGTAACTGTCAAAAGCTAAATTTAGTGTCAGACAAAGTCCATTGTAAGGAATAATTCCTTATGCAAAGCATCTCTTATTTGTGATACCTATGTGCAGTACAAGACAGTAAAATCTTGTTACAACAATTTTTTCAGTTCAGGATAGTAAAAGTTTTCTCAAGTCCCAACAGAATGCCCATAGAGCACTTGTTAAAACAATCTGGTCACAAAATAAACTTCCAAATTTCCTGTTCAACTTTTTTTTAAAAATAATGTTCAATAGACTTTCCAGGCAGAAATTTCTTGACAAACAGAGGCAAAGTTTGAAAATCACCATCCCAAATGAGACTGGAAGGATTTCAGGTGGTTCAATATCCTCTCAGAATGAAGAAATTGTGCAACTGATGGAATTCATGATTGAAGCCAATGTGTTTCCAGAAATTCGCTCAGTTTTTCTAGCAACAATTTAAAAAAATCTGAGAAATCATTTTTCCGTTCTAGATTAACTAAATAACACTCCAAACTACAACCTTAACGAAGGACAACAACTAAAATTTTTAGAACAACTTTGTTTTAATAAGACACATTGTTTGAAAAAGACTTTAGGGGATTTTAATGTGTTGTAATGAGATTTTACTGTAATTTATACCAATATGAAGTTTGCTGTTATCATGAGGATTGTGATTTTATTTTTTTTTACAAATTTTGATTCTCTTTTGGAGCAAACTTTCATTTTTGTTGATTATTCTTCACAGGTTTTGCATGGGCACATTTAAAAAATTCAAGCAACAATTTAAAAAATCTGAGCAATCAAAAAGGCAAGATCTAATTGATTTATACAATCTTAACGAAGGACAACAACTAAAATTTTTAGAACTATATTGTTTAATAAGACACATTGTTTGAAAAAGACTTTAGGGGTTTTTATACGACACTACTCTAAAATGACGTCAACTATGATTATAGATGTTTGCTGTTCTCTTGAGGATTGTGATTTTATTTTTTATTTTTACAAATTTTGATTCTATTTTGGAGCAAACTTTTATTCTTGTTCATTATTCCTCACAGGTTTCGCATGGGCACAAATGTAAAAAATTCAAGCAACAATTTTACAAATCTGAGCAATCAAAATGGCAAGATCTAATTGATTTATTGTGAGGTTTGATGTTAGAATTGCTTCCTGTTGTTGATTTGAAAAATCTTGATAATAACAAATTATTCTGTGTAACAAACTTTTTCTGCAATCCCCTAAAATATGTTGTAATGAGATTTTACTGTGATTGATACTAACATGATTTTTGCTGTTCTCATGAGGATTGTGATTTTTTTTTTTTTACAAATTTTGATTCTATTTTGGAGCTGACTTTTATTTTTGTTGATTCTTCAAGTGTCCAAAGCGTACCCGTGTTGTCGGCGTTGTTGTTGTTGTTGTTGTTCGAGTCGAGTGATCACGCGGTTAGCGCCGCGTCTTATTAACCCGGTTAAAGTTGTTGCGAGGCTGGTACCGCGGCGAAGTGGCGCCGATGGCGAATCCCTGGGGCGGCGCTATGCAGCATCAGTCTGGCGTCCCGTTGTCCATGTCGGTCCCGATGGCCATGTCATCTGGCAGTCAGCTGGGTGGCGGGTCAGGCGGAGGCTTTGGCAACTCGCAGACGGTGTTTGGAAACCCGTGGAATGCGTCTGGGTTCGCCACCGGCGGCGGCAGTTTCATGGGCTCCACTCCGAATCCGTTTGCTGTGAGTTTGCTGTCTCTTGGGATTTTTTTTTTCGAACCTGTGTAATATACGATGCAGTTGAGCCTGTCCTTATTTCTAATTTGGAGGATACTCTGAAAATTTGAATTGATTTGAAGATTATTTTTTTGTTTTCCTGTTCAATTCGGGTCGTGTTTACCGAATGTAAAAGTCCTCGAGAGTCAAATTTGATGGGACTCGAAAAATAAATTTGACTTGAGAGAAGTGTTCATATTTGCCGAATGAAAAACTTCTCTAGTCATATTTGAAGTGACTCCAAGAATAAATTTTACTTGAATTTTTATTTATTTGTGGAATTTGGAGTGAGTTGAAAAGAAAAAATTCCATGTCGGTTTCAAACACTTATAAAGATCTACTTCATCGCATAAAAAGGTCTTCGACACAAGCTAGGTACATAACTAAAATAACAATAAAACTAACTGGAGAAAAAATAATTGAAGAAAATGATTTTTAAATGGCCGAAATTTTAGAAATTCTATTTTTGAGTACGGTGTTAAAATTAATTTTTCTTTTTATTTCGACTGACCGACCAATTTTTAGCGCTGAATTTATGGCATTGAAATTTTAAAAAATTTCTCGAGATGAAAAGGTTTTTATAACTTAATTTAGACTTTTTCCGGTTTTTTTTTGGATTTCATGAAAAAAAGCGTCTGCAGTTCGAAAGTCCTTGATTTCAACTTTCGGAAAGACGAAAATTGCTTTTCAACGTTTGGTGCTTTTTTGATGCTACATTTTGAACAACCCATTTTTTTAGTTCATTTTGTTTATCCACGTGAAAAACAATGTTGAAATAGTACAAGTTTTGGAAAAAAATAAGGCTGTTTTTCAAATGTTCTTCAGTTTTTTGAACAAGGTACAAAATGTTTCGGCCATGTTTTGAATGTTGCTTTCAAAGATGTGTCTCCAAAATTTGTTTGTCCCCTGTACGTTTTGTGTGATAGGTTATCCAGGACTTTTTTACGTGGCGTGGGACAGATGTCACCTGTTGTATGTGTATTTGTTTTTTATATATTTTGAGATCGAAGATTGGGATTGATATGTAATTTCCATACGAATGCTTTTAACTTAGTTTTGAGTGAATGAACTACTAGCTTCTGTGATGGTTGTATAATTGACAAGCTTTTTGATTATTTTTTCATGCTGCTTTTGAGGAACAGGCGAATCGGTTCAGACCTGATTAAGTGGGTCTCTTGAGGTGATCTGATTTATTCAACTTATATTTTGATGATTTTCATATTCGTGTGTTTGCGAGGGGAATAATGTGATGGATTTCAAAATGCAGATGGAGCAGAGGCTGACGACGGGCACCACGGCTCCGACAACATCAAAGAACAACCCGTTTCTGTGAAGTGAAGTCAAGTGCAAAAAGAAATGAAGGTGGATGAAAATGGCGGGGGTTTTAGGAGGAGGAAGAAGAAGAAGAAGAAAAAAAAAAGGCGGTCAGATAATCATGGCTGCTCTGCGAAACCCCCCATTTCTTCTTCCTCTGGATCCCTCTGAGGCGGTCAGGAAGTTCCAGTCCATATTGAAATCTTTCGAATCTGATGCATTTTTCTGTTCGTTTATTTGTTTTGTTGGTTTGTTTGTTCAGTTCCCCCTCCCTACCATCTCCTGGTCTGATTCTGAACTCGAGTCAGATTGAAAAATTGTATCGTTTCTGGTTTTATTTTCGAAAGAAATTTCTTTGGGACTTTCTGGTCCTCCTTGTTGCAGGAACCAAGGTTTTTTTTTGTTCTTGTGTTTTTTTTTTTTGAGCACAGAAGAGACTATTTGGTCGGCAGTCCACTTTGAATGGACTGGTGCATTATTTTTGTTACTGAGAGCGAGCCCAGTGATACCCTGCGCAATGAGTGCGTGGAACAAGTCTCCTTTGTTTTTGTTTTTCTACCAACCGATCAATCAATCGATGAATGTACGCACATTGTGTAAGGCGGAGCTGCTTTCAGGAGGGAGAAAAGTTGAAGTACAGTACGTTTTCTTTTTCTGTAATGGAGCACAAAACGAAAAAGTCCAGCGGCGTTTTTGTTTTTTTTGGCGTCCGATAACGCTTGAAATTAATTTTGAAGTAAATTTGGAAAAGCACACACACACACACATGCCTTTTTGCTGAATCTTGACTATGATTGATTGTCTCAAGTTTGTGGAGGAGAGAGAGAGAGACCTTTTGTTGTTCATGCGATATAAACATTTTTCTATGATGGATTGAACAGTGTGTGTGTGTACCATGAGTCATTCAGGAAAGAGAAAAATTCTACTGTCACAAAACGCAAATTTTTAATGATTGTCACAGCCTTTCCTTTTTTTTGGACAATTTTGGAGCGAGTGGAATTGTAGACAAATGATATGAATTGAGGCTAACGGTGATTTGGTGAGGTTTTCAATCAGACGTCAGGTGCAGACGTCTTTTTGTGGAGTGATTTTATTTTGGGGTTCATTCCTCCGGTTAATTTTTTTTTTCTGCGCGGTCGGAAGTGTTCTTGTTGAGACGTGATCCTTGGGTTTGAATTGATTGGCTTGTTGGAGATGAGGTTGGGAAGGAGCACGTCAGAATTTTTTTTGATGTAGGATCAAATGCATATGTGGTAGTCCTGAGAAGAGTTACGTTGAGGCTTCAGGCAAGAAGTGCTTCTTATTTTTTGAGTTTCTTGAAATTTTCCTTTTTTATTCATGTCTGTAATAGTCGGTTCAGGTGGAAATTCATGAACAATGACGTCAGATTTTATCCTGTCTGCTGCGCAATGCGACAATAAATGCTTCAAGTCCATCTACTTCGATGGTTTTTAATATTGCAAGTAAACAGCGCCGCAGTACTGTGGTTGAATATTGGGCAAAATGTGGAGCTCTTATCCCCTGCAGGTGACAGAGGTTCCCTCTCTATGATAATTTTTTGTAGACAACCTCCATTTTGTTCATAATATTTCCGACAAAATGCAACAAATTTTGTTGAACAAAATACAAGGAGCCAGGAAAAATGTGCGTTGTGAAGAGTCCACCTTTTTCACTTGAAGGGGTTATTATTTAGCTAATTTTTAGTCCCAGATAGAGTAAAAATAAACTGAAGTGCATTCAGTTGTTATGCAGATAAATTTGCTTTGGACAAGACTTGCAGGGACAGTGCATCTGTAGTTTCTCAACTAGCCCTTACTGAAGTATCTTCACTTGATTGGCTCAGGAGCTTGACTACCATCTCTCTCATAATTTTGAACTAAGCAGAAAAAAGAAGCGTGTCCGTCAGATGAATACTTGACTACTGTACTTGAGTCACTCATGAAAAAATGTCAAGACTCCATTTAACACAATATAAAAAGTAAATACTGTAAATTGAAAAGCAAGTAAATTAAATTTTTGTTTGGAAAATTAAAACTTTTCATAAAAAAGTAGTGAACTTCCTCACTTCGTAGTGCACATTCAAGCAAAATAAAAAGTTTTCTACAATTTTATGGATTGAAGGTATGCATTTTACTTAATGCGGATGTTCTGTTGCTTGAGTAAATAAATATCTCGAGTGGGGCAAAGGAAAATACTGTACTGTATTGGCTACAGCTGCTTTGCAGAAAAGCCCCGATCCAAGAAAAGGTACAGTACTTGAAACATATTCATGAAAAGCAGTTCGTATGCTACTTTCCGTCACGCACTTCCCTATTAAATTAATCGTAACTGCGCCTCACTGTCACAGAGGATGTAAAATATGTTACGCCCTCAGCATAAGCTCGTGTGTGATGGCTCTACTGTATTCAATATTCATACACGCATTTTTATTTAAAAAAAAATTGAACTGCATCACGAATCCTTCCCATCTGCTGGTGCTGCATTTCAAAATCCCCCGCGTCACAAACCTCGATTTCCACCAACAAATACAATCGACTCGGCGCACTCATGCACGCACCAAAGGCACAGGGATGACAAGCATATGCTTCATCACTCACAAGATGATCTTGCGAATACGACCAGACCTAGAGTACCACAAACCCAATTTCCTTCACCCATAATATCTCTTCCAGCATCATGCGCGGTAAACATCGAACTAAACTCGAATACAAGGAAAATGACAGAACACAAAGTTCGCCGAAGGGCCCCGAAATCTAGTCAAAACCAAAGCCGTGGATCCTCAATATTTCACCGAAGTGAATATTTTTTGGTAATCCTCAATCCACCTCCCCCTCACAAAATCAGCATGTTAACATCAAGAATACATTGGTTACAATGGAAAAATACCGAACCTAACTTCAGACCTAGAAATTAATCTTCATGACGAGTGTCCGAAAAGTTGATGCGTAAATGATAAGTCGCTATTATATTGTAATCTGAATTTCAGAAAAAAAGCATGACGTGCCGAAAACTGGCACCTCGAAAGCCCGACGTTCGGGAATGGTTTCAGAAGACCCCTACATATTTTATTTGAACATACGAAACAGATGAGCGTTGAGAATTACATTTTGACTACAAATGACAATTTACCTATACGAACGATTACTGAATTCACGTTCTGCACGAAGATGCGAAAAATATATCACCAGCATGATAAACTTCTCAACGCGAAGCAACTTTCTGGACACGTGAATCTGAAAAACTGCCCGAAATTACCGTCCTTAGAACTCGCTCTATCCAAAAAATCACAGGAATAAATCAACACCACTAAATGGGCGAATAACGAGGAAAAAAACAGGTGCATGATCACCATTGATAAGCCAGCACACGCACGCAAATTTCGATGCCTTCGTCACAAAAGCTTTTTCCTCCCTTCTCTATATCCTGGGATAAAAACTTTCATTCACAGCGGTAACAAATGCAGTCCTTGCAACCGGACTTCGAAGCACTCATTGGACCAGAAAACAACAAAAACAGCTTCTCTTTGCGGATAACGTTTCAACCACAGCTTCTGATGACGTGAACGAGAGCGTTACTCCGTTCAACACGATTTGGGATAACCTCTAGTTCACACAGGTATATGGGAAGACAATCACGTTTCCAAAAACACCTACAGAAAAAATCCTATTTCTCAACCGGCGAAGCTCCGAAAATCGCCGACTTTTACTGAAAAATCACGGTTTCCAGCGAATAACCCAGATAAATTACCAACAGAAAAAAAAGTCGGAGACGAACACAGGAATTCGAAGATTTCACGACACGAGAACAATTCCTCCAACGTCACGAGAAATATTCAGAGAAAGTTTTCCAGAAGACTCGAATCAACAAAAACAACCTTGGATAGCACGTCACGATTGTCTCATTTCCAGAACATAAATTCCATTTCATCGGTCCGCGGACGAAACTTAGACCGGACACCGGAAAAATTCCGTCATTTCGCGAAGAGAACAGAATCTCGCCAAATTTCACATCGCACAGCACTGCCCTCTAGCTGAAAATTTTACTTGAACACACGTAATTTCGACTGCTTTTACCTTAAAATGACTCCAATATCATGAATGGACTGAATGCTTACGCTTTGCACAGCGGAACCGATCCTTCACAAGATGTCCGCGATCACGTGACACACTGTGCTCTTCACAAAACAAGTGAATTTCTTAGGATTTTGTGGAGTCGGCAACAGTATAGGATTAACACAGTATTCGAAGAAATTTTGCGACTCATTCAGTCATTCACAACGTAAGCATTGCAACCCATGGCTGGAGTTATTCTGACAAAAGTAACTTTCGGTAAATTTTGAAGCACAACGAAGATACGATTCTTCCCCATTAACTGAGAAACCGAAAATCCACAGCATGCTCGCGATCACACAAAAAAATTCGGCACTTATACACCAGAGGTGACCCACGCATGATTTCTATGCTTAAACTTTCATCGCGTATACCGTCATTCAGACCATTCACAAAATGCAGTTCACAACATAGATGTCGCTTGCGTACGACGGACGCGCGGTTCAGGGTGGGTCACCTCTTGCGTACTAGAGCCAAAAATTGCGCTCATCTCAAAATCAACGGGATATGCCAAGTTTTCCCGAAAACCGCAAGAGCGAAACAAAGCAAAGATAAATACTTTAGAGAGCCCTTCAACCTACGCCGGAAATTTCACTGAAACAAACGCAACTTCCGTCGAATTTCAAGCACGATGTGTACACTAAGACACCGATCGTCCACCAAATATTCACCATCACACAACACTCTTAGCATAACAAACGGCAATTTTCCTCCCATGCCTGATGCACCGCCAGCATTTCCTCACAACGCGCTCAGTGCTTCTTCTTTTTCTTCTTCTCTCCGTCCTTAGAGAAACCCGAGAAACTCGGGCTCGTAGGACTATACGCAGGACTGGTAGGTGCATACAAGGGACTCGTGGGAGAGTACTTCTGAGCACCAGGTGAGTAACTCGGACTCGCAGGACTGTACGCTGGACTCGTCGGACTGTAACTCGGACTCGCGGGACTGTAACTTGGACTGGTTGGACTGTAGCTTGGGCTAGCTGGACTGTAACTTGGACTTGTTGGACTGTAGCTGGGACTGGTTGGTGCATAACTCGGACTTGCAGGACTGTAACTTGGGCTGGTTGGAGCATAACTAGGGCTTGACGGAGAATATTTCGGGCTGGTTGGTGAATAGCTTGGACTTGATGGACTGTAACTTGGGCTAGTTGGACTGTACACTGGACTTGTTGGACTGTAGCTTGGACTAGTTGGGCTATAGCTTGGACTAGTTGGAGAATAGCTTGGACTAGTCGGACTATAACTTGGACTAGTCGGACTATAACTTGGACTAGTTGGGCTGTAGCTTGGACTTGTTGGACTGTAGCTTGGACTTGTTGGACTGTAGCTTGGACTTGTAGGACTATAACTCGGGCTTGTAGGACTGTAACTTGGACTTGTTGGTGAATATCCAGGACTCGTAGGACTATAGCTTGGACTAGTTGGACTGTAGCTTGGACTGGTTGGACTGTAACTCGGACTGGTTGGACTGTAACTTGGACTTGCAGGACTGTAAGCTGGACTTGTAGGACTGTATCCTGGACTCGTTGGTGAGTACTGCGGACTGGATGGAGAGTACCTAGAGTTGGACAAAGAATACCCAGGGCTGGTTGGACTGTAGCCAGGACTTGCTGGGGATCCCATTGGGCTTCCTGGTGCAAATGCTGGTGAACTTGGACTGTAACTTGGAGACAGAGCACCAGCTGGTGAAGGGATGTATGGTGACATCATGGGACCACCAGGGCTGCCAGGACTGCCTGGCTGTGGTGACCATGCTGGTGAGTAGCCTGGTGATAACCCTGAAGCATCTGAGCCAGTTGGTGAGAATGATGGTCCTCCTGGAGTCATGGCACTGCTACGAGCTGGTGACCAAACACTGCCATACATTGGTGTTTGCGCCTGTGAAAATTTAAAAAAGTGGTCAGATTCTTGTAGCAAAAAAACCTCATGGGGCTATGCAAGTAGAAAAATATTAAAAAATTGTTGAAACTCTTTTGGAGCTACAGTATTTCAAAAAGTCTCACAACTTATGAACCAAACCTCGGACAGGACAAAAATAATACTTTTGTGGTAACGTGATCGAATTTTGATGCTTAGAGCCGTCGAAATTGTCCCACCGGAACTTCCACTAATTTTCCTTGAAAGAAAATTTTGCTATAAATCGTCTAAATTAGTTGATTTCATGTACAGTATTTTTTCAATGTCTTCCTGGTGTTCACAAGAGTTGAACAGAAACTCAATTTTTGGCACAACAATATTTCGATCGTTAGATTCATCGCATGAAAAGATGCATTCAACTCTGTTGATCAGTGCTAAAGTTGCCAATTGATGGAGCTACGCAAGTAAAAAATTTAAAAAAAAATAATAATCGTTGAAATTCCGTTGGATCTACTTTTTTTCAAAAAATCTCAAAACTTAAGAACCAGCCCTCCATCGTAGTGCACAAACTTCCCACTGCATTAAACCAAGACACCATTTGAAGACACACGAAATGTTCACACACCGAATTCGCATAGGGGGTCATGGCGGGGGTCATCCCGCCATTGGCAGTCGGGGATTCCCCGCCCCCAAAAAACATGCCGGGCCCCAAGAGTCCCATTCCTCCGACGGCGGGGGCCACGTCCATCCCAAACTTGCAACGGTCCGCGTCCAGCAGTAAATCAAACGCACCGGTCCCGATATGGGCCAGCTGGCCCATCATGATGTTCTCTGACACGCCGCGCAACGGATCCAACTCGGCGCAACTCGCCGCATCCAACAGCACGTCCACCGTCTCTTCGAAAGAGCACCTAAAAATTGTTTGTTTCCACTGAGTTGAAATTTCTCCTTTGCAAATCTCAGAATACTAATTCCGCCAACAAGAAACACCAAAACAGCAAAAAAGTTTCATACGGAATATTGTAAAGGGATTTTTTCAGCTTTAGTCAAAAGAGCAAAGAAGCAGTAGCAGGTGAAAAAATATACATATCCAATGGACTAGAAAAAAAAAAAAATTCCTCAATTGAGTAATACAGAAGGACCCCAAAGTACGGCAGACAAATGATTCTACTCAGGGACACTTGAAACAACAACAAAATCTGTCCTTAAATTTGGACAATTTCTCAACATACGGACACCTTTCAAAAATTTCTAGAAAACGTTGAAAAAACCCTCTAAATTTCTGTCTCTCTAAAATTGAGCTTTTTATATTCACAAAAATAAAAAAATAAATTCAATGATGAAATTTAGTTTTTTTTCTGTCATTTGAGCACAGTAGAGCTAAACTTGCTTCTTGAGCTCCTCCTGATGCCTAAAAAACAGATTCTATGTGGTTTTCTTCATTCGCGGCTTCTTCTAAAGAATCTAAACCATTTCTAATTGTTATTCACGAATCTAAACCGCCACTTCAAGTCACCCCAACACACACGACCCCAAAAATCCAACCTCATGAGAGCACCAGTGTCCTGACGATTGATCCCGTGTCGCGTAATGGCCATCAAGTGTCCCTTGGCCGTCATCACGTCACACAACAGGGCCAAGTGTCTATAATTCACGTACAGCCCGTAAAACTGAAGCACCGTGTTCATCTCCTTCTCCACGCACTTCCGCACGGCTTCGATCCCCAAGACCGAGAAGATCTCGCAAATGTCATTCGAGTACGTTCTCACGGGGTCCACGTCTCGCTCAGACAGCACCTTCATCAAACTCGTGCCGTCAGTTTCCAGGAGCCATTCGGCGGTTTTCGAAAACTCCCCGTTTTCTTCGATAACGATTCGTTTCTTGGAGTCGGTGTTGGGCAAGTGCATGTAGACCTTGGCAATCGCTTCAATGCCCTGGGGGAAAAGAAACGAAAGATTTACAACGAATTTCCTTTGTTTTTTTCTTCGATCAATAACTAATTTGTAATTGAATAAAATTTGACGAAGGAACAACGGAAATGCGCGATTTTCCGTCGATAGTTAGCGAGTGATACGTGAACATTTTGAAATGATTCTTGTCAGGTAACAAGTTAATAAAATCTGTCATGGACGCAACGAAAGTTGACTTAAATTTAGTCATTTTGGCAAAAGAAACGGTAATTTTCCGCGCAGACAGCTCGCATATGATTTTAAAATTTTTCGTAGAAGACTAGTCTGAAGGATGTCAACAAAGTCAAATGTAAAGGGATCGAATTTCTAGTGCGTTTCAAATCTCGAGTTGCTTCAGTTTCAATTGTTTCAAGTGGAGGAAAATCGCGAATTGAAAAGAAGTTTTAAAAAATATTACGGTACAGTCGACATTTTTAAAATTACACCAGAAGTGATTTTACGCAGGATTGAGCATTTCGTCATGAAAAATTTCCCCCACGAGCGGAAAAGCGTGGTAAAAAAAAATTAGCTTTAGTGTGTTACAAATCTCACGTTGCTTCAGCTATAAATTGTTTCAAGTGAAAGGAAATTGCTTGTTTCAAGTGAAAGGAAATTGCTTGTTTCAAGTGAAAAGAACTTGAAAAAAGTTTGCGATACAGTGAAAACATTTTTTTCAAGTTACAGTAGAAGTGGTTGTCCTTGGTATTCACAGGTTTCTCTCCGAGAAATGCTAGAAGTCTCCCCCAAGAGAGGAAATTCGCAGAACAGTGAGACCCCACATGCGGACACAATGAAATTTACGCATCAAATTCGAGAAGTACAGTATTCACGGATTTCTCACAGCAAATTTTCAAACATTTCTACACTCGGGGTCATTACACACCTGCAGAGTCATGTCAGACAACATGTTGGCCTCAATGCACCGCAGAAACACGTCATCCTCCATCTTGTCGACCTGCTCCTCGTCCTCATCCGGCTGAAACTTGCTCTCTTCGTTATTCATAATCCGGATCCTCAACACCAGCTTCTCCGCATTGTCGTCATTGAAGATGCAATACGGCGAAATGGAAAGTGTTGAGGGTCATTTGGGTGGCGGGTTCTCCCAGAGACTGGGCCGCCAACGCGCCGACCATTTCCCCGGGTTGCGCCTGAAAACAAAACGAAGAATTTGACTCGTATTTTTTTCATTTTCACATTCAAATTGAATTGGAAAATATACTGGTGGACTCTCTTCACAAAGAACTTCAAGGGGCCAGAAAAAATATTCTTTGTAGAGAGAATTTCGTGGCAGAGAATCCCCATGGGACCAAAGATTAGTTGTACAGACAAAATCGTTGTGGGCCAAAAATAAATTCGTTACACAGTAGACAGAAAACCGTTTTAGAAAGGCTTAAGTGTTCAATGATACATTGGGAGCATCGACATACGGACAACACAACACACAAATTATTCGACTTACGGACAGTTTTCAAAACTCAACCATCCAAAACATCTAGAGATTCTAGACTATAGACAATGCTTCAAGAAACAGAATCTCTGCCAACATTCCAGAAAAATTAAATTTCAGACATTTGAAACTTTACGTACAAATAATTTAGAATTATAATGACAAATAATTTACTTCATTTCTGTGGAGAAAAACGCAAAATAAATCTCATTAAATAATTTACTCCGATTCATCATCCAGTACAGGCTAAATTTCGGCTTACTTTTTCAGGGTTTTTTTTCATCAACTGTATACAGTTTAGCAACATCTGTGCCTGTTCATTGTTTTTCGAGACTCCTTCATACTCCAAAAAGGCAGATTTCAGGAAGAGAAAAGACAGTAGTTTTCTTCCGCATCTTTAAATTCAGAAAAAAATAATTATTTCAGTTTTTGGTGAATTTTTCCACTTTCTGCCAAATAGGAGAAGAAATTAAAAATGCTCACTTTTAAGTCTATGGGGAAATTTGATCCGACACATGGGCCCAGAAAGAGAAATAATTACGTCCGCATTTTGAGGTCCCAGTTAATAAAATCTATGGACCATTTTTGTGCACAAAGAATTTCCTACAGGTCAAGGACATTGCATTAATTTAAAAAATTTTAATATACATACAATATGTTTTTTTGCTTTATAGAAAACATAAGAACAGAGGAACTTCCATCACAAAGAACTTTTCAAATTTAAACATGAAACATGTACCGTATTTACTCTAGTAACTTGCACCCTCAAGTAAGGCGTGCACAGGGGTATTTCAGTTGGAAATTTTGCAAAAATCTTATCCCCGAGTAAGACACGCACCCCTATTTTTAGTTAATCTGAAACCACAAAATAAAAAGAAATTTGACTTTAGACATGAATTGAACAAAAATCTGATCAATTTTCAACTGTTTCAGTACAAAAAAGTTTGCTTGTTACATTTGTTCAAAATTTCTCCATTATAATTATGTATAATGCACACATAACTCTCAAAAACTTATTGGAAAATTTGTACCCCCTTATGATGCGCACCCCTTTTTCTCTTCTGAAATTTGAGAAAAAAGGTGTATGTGGTACTCAAGTAAATACTGTAGCTTTGCATGTAACAAATGAAGGTCTTGATGGTCTAAGGCAGATTATTCATTCCATGTACTGTATATTTGCTATGAAAATTGGTGCAAAAATATTCACAGCCAGATTTCAACCCATCTTCCAAAACACCTTTCCACCAGCAAGACACAAGACAAATTGATAATCAATCATAAATATCTGCTTTATTCATCCTACAATTCATGTTTCTGGAAATCCTTCATGGCCTCAAGGGTCTACCTACTGCATGGGAGAGAGTGAAAGAAATAATCTCCCTTCTCCTTCACAACATGAAATAACCCCTTCCATCCTGTGCATCTTCCTAACCTCTAATCTAAAAGTGAAGGACTCTCCTCCTAACCTTGTTTTGACTTATATAGGGGATCAGTATATGCTGCCCTTTCCAAGAGTTGTAGCCACATTTCCCTCCAATAGTTCATTCCCAAAATTGTTTCCCTGGTCCCTTGAAACTCGACTTAGAGAGGTTCAACTGTAGCTCTAAATTATTGTACTGTACTTAGTCAACCGATTTTCTGGACAACATTGAGATTCTATTGAACGAAGCACCAATGCAACATTATAATAATGCACAAACCATCGCCTTAACGAATCGCGTCTCGACTTCTCCAATAAGCCAGTTGAAGGCTTCCGAAGACAATTTGAATTCGTCTGCCAGGCGTCGGCTACAAAGCGTCGACCTCACAAAACATCTGAAAATAATTCAAATGAAATACAACTTGAAAATCAAGTCTAAAACAGGAGTTTTCAGACGACTGAAAAAGATTTCAGAAATAATTTTGCCGTAGTCATTGTCCACATGGCGAATGTCACACCATCAAAACAGCAATTATTCTAGAGAATTTCTAAAAGAAAAAAAAGAAAGGAAGCGGGTGCGAATTTTTAAAATTTCTTCACGACTTCTCCGATAGTCGTCAGTTTTGGGGTCCAGGAGTTCAATGTAACAACTGTCCAAGAACAAAAACACACCACTTGATACTCTTGAGTTTTTAAAAAATTTCGAGTAGAGAATATTTCGTCGCTCGTTTTCCCAACTGAAAAAAAAGCCAAAAAAAATTCCCTGATATGAACCATGAATGTGAGGGTAATTAATAAAAAGACAAAAAAGAGCAAATTCAGTTTCGGCGGTCTTCGAAAAAAAACATAAAAAAAACAATAAGCCATATCGGAGGGGATTTTTGTCTGAAAAATTACTCCATTAACATACACGTTTTTTCCAGTGTTTGCTGTGGCTTCCAACATGCTCAAAAGGTCTTCAACAATTTCTAACCGCATTTCATCCTTCATTTACTTATACGCAACGAATTTTTTACCTATAAATCAACGAAAAATTGCTAAAAATCGACTACCGGTGGACTCCATGAAAATTTTATCTAAAAAGATTTTCTCTGTATAAAGAAGTTTTTTTGTGGTCCCATAGAGATTTTTACCCTCGAGGTTCTCTACAATGAAATTCTCTCTAAGAAAAAAAATTCTTCTGGTCGCCTAAATTCCGTCGTACAGAATCCATCTGTATTTAATATTACTCATGGTGACTCCCAGGACTTTCAAGAAACGCTCAAGTACTAAAATTTAAAAAAATTTAAAAAAAACCCTGCACAAAAATACCAGAAGAATCAAAATACACTAGTATCCCGGATAACCAGCATCATGAACTTTTCTGATGCCCAATTCACTTTCCGAATCACATAATCCAGCGCATTTTACAACGAAAAACCAGAACAATTACGCCATTCGCTACCAAGAAACGCCTGACTCTTCGCAATTCAAAAAAATCGTTCGCATCAATGAAAAAGATGAATATTTCTGAAACAAACAAAAAAATTCACCTAAAAAGCAGTGTGGCATTATCATTAGCCTGCACACTCAGCTTGTCGTCGCCCTGCACGATAGTGCACCTGTTGAGCAAGTCCTGAATGCCCCGAATGACACGCAACGGGCTCAGGTCACTCGGCACCCGGGCATTGACCTTGAACAATTTCTGCGCATTCCAAATCATTCGCGTCATGTTGCAGGGCAAAACGACTTTGCTCTCGCCAGTGGGGAAGATTTTCCGCAAGGCTTGTCGATCCGCCTTGAGTTGGAGCCATTCTTCCTCCAGGGCTCCGATGATCTCTCCGCTGCTCATGATTTCTTTGACGATGTCCTCGCGATAAACACGCCTCAAATACCTGATGAGAGGAGGGACAATATAAAAAAAAATTGTTCGAGCGATAATTTTAATGCAACGACATTCCTGGAAAGCAATCGGGACATCCCAGCTGTTTTGTGCAAAAGAATTTCCCTCGAATTTCTTTCACGGAATGCTTCAAGACTCAATTGAATCAGAAAACGCGATTTAAAAAAAAATTGAAATATGAAATGTTCTCTTCTTAGAAATGTTGGCAAACACAGACATAGAGCTCTGTCACATGTTTATGCTACCAACCAAGTACTTTCTATTTCCCGGTCAACGACAGTAACCTCCACCTACGTTAAAAAAGAAAACGAGAAGTTAGGAAGTAACCACGTATTATAATTTTCCATCCACTAATCAGCTACACAAGGAAGCAAGAAAAATACCTAGACCACAGTGAAGTTTAATTGATCAAGAACAGCTGAATGCGCACTTGCATACTCTACAATTTTGGGGGATACATAGTAAATTTCACTTCAGTGGAGGGCATTCACTGTGATCCAGGTCTTTTTCTGGTTCCCTTCTGTAGCTGATTTGTGAATCAAAAATTTACAGTATTAGACACAATTGAAGAGCAAAAGGAAAAATTGCATCCACCTCTGATGACGGCAAGTGGCCTTTATCATCTTTTATGAACCAACCCTTGTAAATGGTAAAAAGAAAAAATCACAGTTTTATAATAATCTACTCAGGAGTTTGTCCAATTCTTATGGGGTAAGAACTGAACCGAAAGGGTAAGGATTTAAGACGAAACATTGTTGGTCTTGACGATCTGGTTTTCCACTCAATCACTGTCTGGTCACCAGTCATTCACTTGCATTATGCATACTGGTTTATACTTTCTATAGTATGCGCAGTCATCTACCTGTCTTGCCATTGCCATGAATCTATAAAGGAATGTCTGAACACTCTTTCAGCACTCATTGCTGGTTTGGCTTGTACTGTTGCTGCATTGCTTAGACTTGTATTAAAAGGATATTCTGAATTGAGAGGCGAACTCAATTGTTTTACCCCAGCCATAAGATTAACACTTCTTGACAAGATTTGTCCTAACAAGTAAACATTGAAGCGGAATCTCTCCTATTTTCGTTTCTTCTGTAAGTTACGCATAGCGAAAATTAAACCGGTTAGAAACTGTCAAGTTCTATTGTAAACAAAGTTCGTAGGAGGTCAGTTTAACAGGTATGCAGTTCCCGGCGTCTGTATTTTTCAAGCCAATGGTCAAGCTTTAGCTCATCTTTTTTCATTCGAAGTACCGTTTTTACTTGAGTATCACGCGCACCTTTTTTCTAGAAATTGTGGCAGAAAAACAGGGTGCGCGTGGTACTCGGGGATAAATTTTAGGGGAAAATTTCCAAAACCAGCGTCCCTCACATCCAAGTTTAAAAAAATGAAAGAGGAAAAGTGTGGCGCCAAGTCTCTTCCTGCATGAGGAATAATTGCTCAATTTGTTTGATCTCTTGGAGATGCAACAGGAAGTAAAGGAAGGGGGTGATATAATCTAATTGAGGAAGCTGTCCTATATTCCAAATGCATTTTAACTGCTTCTGTAGATGGAAAAAGACAGAAAGACAAAATATTGATGAAGAAAAATGAATTTAAGAATAAAGCATTTTCACATTTCAACTTAATCTCAAATTTTTTGACTCCCAGCAACAACAAAAAACCGGGGTGCGCGCCGTACTCGATGGCGCATGGTACTCGAGTAAATACGGTATGTAAACGAATCGTCGCATTCGCAGCAGATTCCCAACCTTTCATTCGACGGGTCCAGCTTGAACTTCCGCTCAAACGCAATATTCGACGGCTTGATGGACGTCAGATTCTGAAACTCCACAAACTCGGCAGCCAGGCCGTCCTCGCCGTATCGCAGCTGATAGAGAGGATAAAAGCAAAGAAGACATTCAATGCGTATCGCTTTTAATTTGGCCAATCTTTGACAGTTCAAGATAACATTTGTTTCAAGCATCCTCCAGTCAAATTGTCCATACGTCAAGGGCCGCATTGTATTTTTCAAGCCAGTGGCCAAGCTTTAGCTCATCTTTTTTTTCATTCAAAGACAACGAATCGTCGCATTCGCAGCAGATTTGGTTGGAAAGTAAGCTGCCCAGGTCGAACTTGAAGGCGAGTTTGCGTTATAAGCTGCCGAACTACCTGCAGTCTAAGACTTTGAGGTGTTTGAGCCGTCGGTCCGGCAGGAGCGGCATAGCGTCGACAATCAACTGCGACACAGAGTTCCTCACCGTGCCATCATAGGCCACACTCACGCTTTCCATAGCCTTGATGAGTCGTCGTTGAATGTAGCCCGTTTCGGCAGTCTTTACAGCCGTGTCAATGAGACCTTCCCGTCCTCCCATGGCGTGGAAATAGAACTCGGTGGGCGTCAAGCCGGCGAGGTAGGAATTCTCGACAAAGCCTCTGGACTGGGGTCCGTAATCGTCCTTGATGAAATGGGGTAGCGTGCGTTTCCGGAACCCGAACGGGATCCGCTTGCCTTCCACGTTTTGCTGGCCCACACAGGCGATAACCTATACGGAGACGGGCAAATTAATTCATTGCACAGGGAATTCTTTACTTCATGATTTCGATTTCGGACTTCTTCAACTCGAACCTCCACAAATTGAATTTTCGTAGAGTCCAAAGCATCATCTTCGGACTGTAGTTTCACTTGTTGAAAATTGAAATAAGCAGTAGAGCTAAAAATTACAGGATTACAGTGGCGCCAGGAAAATGGCAGAACTTCAGGAAAGTCAGGGGTTTGATGGAACCAAGCGCAACCTCGGGTTTCCACAAGATTCTGAATTCTTGAGGAAATCCTTTTAGAAGGAGAATACGTTCAGGGACAAAATTGCCATAGAAAGGAAATTGCATAAATAGCAAATCATTTCTGTATTGAATCATCAGTTGCTTCTGTGTTGTCTTGCGTGAAAGACTGCTTGCAAAAACTGCTGTTGTCAAATAATCTATCAAAATACCTGAAAATACATCAACCCTTACACCAGGGTGTTAAGCACCCCGGCTGCAGCCTGGCTGATTGTTGTCTAAATTTAATTTCAAATCATCAAAAAAGAACCAAGTTGAACAAATCCGCAAACCAATTCCATTTCCAACATCATTAACATCTCAAGCTCAAACCCTGTCAAAGTCGAATTTTCTCATTTGCTTTCTATAGTTATTAAAACTAGTTTCATTGACCCTTTCTAAATGAAATTGGTTTCATTAAGCTCTCTAACTCGAAACGTCTCGAAGTCGATTTTTTTTAATCCCTTCAAATTCAAATTAGAAAGGTTCATGAAACTGTAGGGCTGAAAATGCTTGGGATTGGAAAACAAAAATTGGAGGTACTTTGTCACATGGAATCTTTTTCGAAGTTGTGCAAAGTATGACAACCATTTTCTCCATACAGTACTTTATATTGCTTCACATTTTCTTTTGTCCAATAAAAGCTTCCTTTGATGCATACGCGGAATCTCTGCAAAAATATTCTCTACATAATTAGTAATTTTTTTCAGTTCACTGAATATTTTTCTAGGGACATTCTATTATTCCAGAACATTGTGAGTTGTCCAGAACTCTGGACAACTCAGCATTTTTCAGAAGGTTTTGATAATTTTGAAACACGTATTTCATCTATTAAAGGACTTTGGAGAAATGATGAGGCAGTGGAAAATACAGCAATGAACAGAATATTAATTTTTCGCGTTTTATATTTGCGTCAAATTATACCAAATATACATAATACATTTACGAGAATAAAAGCACTCCCTAGATTTTTCAGGTACAAGATTGAAATTCCATTTGCTTTACTGATGTTCTGATTTTCTAGAAACCTATGATTTCAAATTTAGATTTTCCTCAGAAAATGGAAAAAAGGTGTCACACAATGGCACAACCCTTGCTCTTCCCCTGCAATGATTGAATCCTGCATCTTGAAGGGTTAAAAGCTGATCATTTCTTGATTATTTTTCAAATTCGATTACAGAAGAACTGAAGAAAGTAAGTGCTGCTTGATTGTTTTGTGGGCCAGGAAAACGAAGATTTCCTGTTAAAAGACATAATTACGCTAATTGCATAATTAATGTATGCAAATACTGTATAAGCACCTCTCTAGCTTTCGAGCTTCTGAAATTGGAAAAAAAAGGGTGTCGATATTCGCGTAAATGCAATACGTATGGGAGACATTTCATGATGAGGTCTTGAAATAAAGGGAAAGTTCGCCTTTAATTTTTAAAATGCTCCTCAGGAATAAATAAGCCCTCGTTTGATTTTTTGGAGACGCGAGTTTTCATCCAAGAGTGTACGAATTAAACTTGAGATTACCTCTCGTTCTGAAATTCCAAGTACAGTACAGCAAAATGTTGACAATACATTCAAACAAACATAACTTTTCAATGTAATGGAGAGAAGTAGGAAAATTCTTTACAAAAATTAAGAAAAAAAATGTCTCTTCTCAACAATCAACAGATGAAAGCGAAAGAACCTGTGATATATTGATGTTTGATCCTTTGGAGCCTGCCACGACCATGGCTTTCAAATTGTTGTACTCAGTCAGAGATTTCTTCGCAGAAGAACCCGTTTTGTCTCGAGCGTCGTTCAAAATCCTGTTCACCATGTTCTCGAATGTTTGTCTACGAGTGTTGCCGGGCGTTGGTTCCAATTCATCATTGTGAGCCTGGAATCATAAAAAAGAATCATGATGATACTGTCAGATATAACGTCACTCAGCTACGTAATTCTCCTTGACATCATCTCGGGGTCGCTGGAATTCTTGTCAAATTTCATTGCGTTCGACACTTGTCGAGATATTGTAATTCAGGGTTATTGGTAGAACTTGGTTGGGCACATCCGCACATGGGAACATTTGCCACTTCCCAAATGGTTCAAATTTGCCAGGTCAGTTATTCAGGCGACACCTACACGACATTCCACGAAGCAAGGTCGGACGACTCAGGGAGATTCGAAATTTGCATTTTAAAAAACTGCGGGTTCAAGAATAATTTAAACTCAAGCAAACAATACGTAGGGGGTTTTTTTTAGAACGGATTTCCCCAAAATACAGGATATCGTAGAATTTTTTAGGATGTAAAATTAAAATAATCAGATAAAGATTAATGATTATTTTCTGAATCTTGATGTTCAGATGAAGATTTTAATTGATTTTTTCGAGAATTTTTCCGATTTGTGGGCCAAACATGAGAAGGGATTAAAAAACGTTTCGCATTGAGGTCTATGGGGAAAATGTGATTCGACATGGATAAAATCCAACATATGCAGACACAATCGCTATAAAAAGATAATTTGTGGCAGAATTATTCCGCATTTAGATAATGTACAACAGTTCAAATGATCTCAAATTACCGCAAATGTTCGTCAAGTGTTTTTAAGCATCCGAAGAAACCCTAAAAATGACAGACAAAGATATAAAAGAATTATTCAAAAGCAGTCGAATTTAACTGTCACTTGGATTAAACCAACTTGAATTTTTTACGCTTACAATGTAAAAAAAAAAAACGCTGTTCAAAAACCTGTCCAACACTTTTTAAAAAAGCCCGAACATTTTGAAGTTCATCAGGCGGAACCAGAAAATACTCAAAATCACACAAGAATTACGCCATCAGCAAAACAGATTTTCAAGTCAACTCTTCCAACTCACCCTCAAAATAATTTCACTGACATCCTCCTTGGCCTTGCGAATCGTGTTGGTGATCTCAAAGTAAGTCTGCTTGTCGGCAATCGTGTCCCCGATCCCGATGGAATGACCCTCAATCATGAGCCAATTATTCACAACCGTCTGGATGTGCGAGTACAACTGGCCACACAACTCGTGCCCCAACTCACAAAGTAAGTCTGCTTGTCGGCAATCGTGTCCCCGATCCCGATGGAATGACCCTCAATCATGAGCCAATTATTCACAACCGTCTGGATGTGCGAGTACAACTGGCCACACAACTCGTGCCCCAACTCTAGCCAGCACACGTGCAACAACGAACCCCCCGAAGCACCCAAGGTTTGCTTGCACAAAATCCCCATCAACAAGTCGCCGCCTTCAATGAGCACTTTCGTGTCTCCCGGAGAAATCCACTTGTAAGGACCATCGTCTTCGTCGTCCGGGTGAGTCGAGTGGGTTCGCATGAGGTTCAGGTTCCCCGGGATGATCAGAGAGAACAATTGTTTGCCTGGAAAATGCCAGACAAGAATGCCACATTTAAATAAAAATACAGTCGAATTTCGAGCGACCAGCAAAAAAATTCGAGTTAGGGAAACAAGCATTTTCGTTGGGGGAAAAAAAAAGAAGAACAATGACAGAAAATGGTTATTGGTGATATCATTGGCATTCAACTGTTACTTAAATGAGTTGGCAGGATGATAAACTCGGAGTCAAGGGTTCATTTTCTCAATTAGTCCTCCACTTTCTTTACGAAACCCATCCGCTACTTTTTTATTGCTTTTTTTTTTCCCCGTGTCAAAAAATAATAGGCCGAAAGGCCCTCAGAAAATTATAGCAACGAATGTTTGAGAGGAAAAACCTTCGATTTATGGCGGTTTTCAATGCATTGCTTCTAAGGGAATTCGGACAGAGGCTTGAAAAAAAAAAATTGACACAAGGAGGTATGTGACTTGGAAAGGTTCGAGTTATCGAAGTTCAACTGTTTTTTATTATTATTTTTATATCTTTTGAACCAACTAAGCAAAAACCTTGGCCAAGAAATCAAATTAAATTTATAAAATAATTTCCCTTGAACTGGGGAACTAATTAACTACATTCCCATGGGTCTATGGGAATGCGATCCAACATACAGACACACCGGCAAAAAGACGAGGTCCAAACCAATTACGTCCGTATTTTGGGGCCACGCTGTAATTTTCTGTCAGAGCTGAATTTCCATAAAAATGTCAGCTCATACGAGGGTTGACCCACATGAACGTATCATTGGGTATTTCTAGAGTGGGTACGCTCAAAAATAAAAATTTTATAATTTAGCCCATACAGTTCCAAGATTTTGGGATTTAAAAAAAATTTTCAATCTAAAATTTAATTTAATTTTTGGCATGATGATAAATGAAAACTTTTCAGCTTTCGATGCACTTCTCCACTCATGATACAGGGTTCTAAAAATTTGTAATCACAGATAAAAAAAAATTGAATTTATAGCAAAATGTTTCAGGTTTTCGAATTTTTTTGAAAAAAAAATAATTGCTCAAAAATTTTTGAAAATTGAAAAAAATATATAGAAAACATCATGGGTGAAATGGCATAAAAATATAAATTCCTACTTGTTGCACCCTTTATCATGAGTGGAGAAGTGCATCAAAAACTGAAAAGTTTTCATCCATCATCATGCCAAAAATTGAAATTCATTCTGAAAAATCTGAAAAAATTTTCAAAACCTTAGAACTTCATGGGATAAATTGTAAAATTTTATTCATGAGGGTTCCCACTCTAAAAAAAATACCCAAGGCTACGTTCATGCGGGACAACCCTCGTATTTCATAATCGAAAGACAGTTGAAAAATTCAAGCCCAGTTGCCAATTTTTCCGTCGTCCTCCTCCTCCTCCTCCTCCCCAGGATAAAAGAACAAAAAATAAAATAATAATACTAGCAGTTAGCTTGGACAGGTGTCCCCGAACCCAAAGTACTACCGGCCCTAGCCGTAAAAGGGCAGGGTGGAGCCGTTTACGTAGTTGTTCAGGTAGTAGACCAGGTAGAGCTATTTGCGCAGGGCGAACGTCATCTTCCTCACAGCAGTCAGCGTGTCTTGCACAATGCCCATGACGGGTTTGTTGGACTGCGGCGTCACAACCATTCGCGGCGTGAGATGCAAATTCAAAATCTCGGCCCGGGTCTCCATCGACTGCGGCACGTGCATGTTCATTTCGTCGCCGTCGAAGTCCGCATTGTAGGGCGAAGTGCAGCTCAGGTTCATGCGGAACGTGGACCAGGGCAGGACTTTGACGCGATGGCCCATCATGGACATCTTGTGCAGGGTTGGCTGGCGGTTGAAGATGACCAGGTCGCCGTCTCGCACGTGTCGCTCAACCTTTATCAAAAATCGGGGGAAAAAAGGTTTTCGGAGCTGATCTGATTGATTCTCGATTATATTTTTTTCGGTCTTGTGTTTCCCTCAGATGGACAGATGATGATGATCATTAAGATACTTTTTCATTGCACTCAATCATCGTGAGAAATTTAATGAAATTTCGGAAAGTCGAAGAACGGTAATCGAAACTATTTTCCGAATCAACGAACCATATTAAATAAGTATAAAACCAGAAAAAAAAAACTCGTGCTAAGCTTTCCCAGCAAATGTTCAGACAAATTTTTTTACCTCTCTTCAAAAACGAACATATAAATACTTGTATGCCAAAAGTATGATGACATGACGGCTTTTTGCGGTGAAACAAGCGCCGCATAAATTTTTAACCTTTATAGTCGCCCCGGAAATCCTTATTTGTGTTTAAATGCAAATTTTGGTGTTCGTTCTCAAAGACACGAATTACAAAAGCAACACATGGGATATTATTTCTTTGGTTTCATTACAAAGGTGAATTTAAAAAATAAAAAAAAACGGAGAACATCATGTAAACTTCATAATAATTGAAATTTCCATCCGAATTCCGGATCCAGATTCCGTTCAATATTCCATGTTGGATTCCCATTCTGGAATACAGTACGTCATAAAATTTTTTTAGCTTTCTTAATCTTGAACATTTTTAGAAATAATCTCGGATTTTTCATTAAAACAATTTTGCACAAGAATTACTAAAAATTGCATTAAAAAGTTCGTTCCTCAAGTCAAGTTCGTTCTTCAATGTGAATATGGCGACCGCGTTCGTTCCTTACTATACAAACAGTACACCCGAGTGATCCCTGATTCATAAAATGACAGGTAGGTGTCACTACTTACTGACCTAGCCAAAACCGACCTTCCCTAGAAAAGTTCTAGTTGCATAACCTAGCCCAATTTGAATCTTATTCGGGCGACACGCGTAATATAAAAACTAAAACGAAGTACGAAGGATTCAACGATTTCAGGCTTTAGTGAAGACAATAAAGGTGTCTCCAATTTCGGCCCGCCTAGAGATGGAATCGAAACGAAAAAGGCTGTCAAATTTCGTGTGATGCGATGGAGCTTCTGTATAAGAAGCAACTTTTTCTTTGTAGCATAAGAAATATGCATCAACGACTGTAAGTTACCTTGTAACCGATGGCAAGATGCAAATCCGCAGGCTTGGGATGAAACCTCAGGTCGATTCGTTCTCCGTTGTCCCGGATTATGTATTTGGCACCTGGGTACTGAGAATTCCCTCGCTTCACCAACACAGTCAAACTGCGAAGTGCGACAAAAAAAAAATCACAATACGTTTATTGCCATCACTAGCAAGACTAAAAACAAAAATAAAAGTCAAACCTTGATGCAGTGCCACGCTTTGTTTTGGCACATTTGCGGCACGAAGCAAGGATGACACTAAATTGGAGTTACGGTATATTTGGGTCAGAGAGGAAAATTTAGTTGAGGGTTCCTATTGCAGGTAAATTAGGTTTGTTTACATTATTGTTAGGCTACTGAGTCTGTTTTATAAGAGAAACATAGACAAAATAAATGAATTGAAGTTCAAATGTACCACTTTTCATTTTTTACTGCATTTTAAATATGTCTCAAGACAGAACACATTTCATTTTTTACACATATTGTGCTTTGGAAAAGAGCAGGGCTCTTGCTCAATGTTTCATTTGCATTTCAGTTTATATCATGCGCCATCATGAAGGAATCACCAATTCGTTCAGGAAAGCTCCCATTTTTTTTCAATGAAGGAAGGTAAAATACAAGAACAAAAATATTTTTCAACAATCTCAATTCAAAAACAGAGTTTTCAAAATTACTTTGAGTTTTTATGCAACAATGGGGAAATTTGATTTTCAGTTATAACAAAAGGATATCAGAGAAATGCCATACATTTTTTTTGGAACATTTTTCATTCATGACGAGGATTTGTCATGGCACCAAGTGAGTTGGCACTAAATCGGGGTTCTGTTGCAAACACAATGCAAGGAGATTTTCTTCAGATTTGAACGTTAAGTTACTCTCTGTAACAAATGTTCCAATATTCTAAAAAAAAACTAAATCAAGTCACTCCAAATTTTGAGTATTTATAGCTGTCATGATACATTGAAAAGATATGATTGTGCTGCTTTGCTCACAAAGAGATTTAAATACAATTGGTACAAAAAAATCACGCCCTGATTTGAAATTTTGCACTAGGAAAAAAGCATGCTTTTTCTTCTTTTATTCAGGGTGATTGTTATGAGATGCATTTTTCTGGTATGCGATAATTTTGCACTTGTGCAATATCACCTTTTGTCCTTTTTGCTCTCTTACAAATCGCTCCAGGGAAATTGGTGGCACTACATCCAGGATTGACTTCAAAAGTAACACAATTCATCCAATTCACTGCACTAATTGTCACGTCACTCACTCGTCAATATTAAACGGCGTCACGATCTCCGGAAACGTGAGATTCTGCGCAATGCTCCTCGGAACACCCAACTCATCAATGAACAAATTCGGATCCGGAGTGATAACCGTCCTGGCGGAAAAGTCCACACGCTTGCCCATCAAGTTCCCACAATTTTGACCATGATGCATAGGTGTGGCTGTCCACCCCCATTTTTCAAATATATTGTACCCTGATTCATAGAAATTTTTAAAATATTTGTAAAATTACAAACATGATGCCCAGGTGTGGCTGGGCACCCCCAGCTTGTTGAATAAGTAAAAAACCAGAAAAAAAACTCGTGTTAAGCTTTCCCAGCAAATATTCAGACAATTTTTTTTTACCTCTCTTCAAGCACAAATTATATTTATGAACATACGGTTTTCATACTACTGTACTGCCGAAAAACGCCACTTTGTTCGCGGCGTATTTAAAAATTGGAAATATCAGCGGGGCCTTTAGGAATAAACACAAATTTACGTTTAAAACGTATTCGTTCTCAAAGACACGAATTAAAAAAGCAACACATGGGATATTATTTCTTTGGTTTCATTACAAAGGTGAATTGAAAAAAAAAAAAACGGAGAACATCATGTAAACTGCATAATAATTGAAATTTCCATCAGAATTCCTGATCCAGATTCCGTTCAATATTCCATGTTGGATTCCCATTATGGAATACAGTACGTCATAAAAATTGTTTAGCTTTCTTAATCTTGAACATTTTTAGAAATAATTTCGGATTTTTCATGAAAAAATTGTGCACAAAAAATACTAAAAATTGCATTAAAAAGTTCGTTGGGATTTCCTTTCTCATTTTAAGTTCGTTCCTCAAGTCAAGTTCATTCTTCGATGTAAATATGGCGACCGCGTTCGTTACTATACAACAGTACAACCGAGTGATCCCTGATTCATAAAACGACAGGTAGGTGTCACTACTTACTAACCCAGCCAAAACCGACCTTCCCTAGAAAAGTTCTAGTTACCGTACATAACCTAGCCCATTTTGAATCTTATTCAGGCAACACGCGTAAAATAAAAACTAAAACGAAGGAATCAACGCTTTCAGGCTGTAATGAAGACAGTGTAGGTGTCTCCAAGTTCGGCCCGCCTAGAGATGGAATCGAAACGAAAGAGGCAGTCAAATTTCGTGTGCTGCGATGGAGCTTCTGTAAGAAGCAACTTTTTCTTCGTAGCATAACAACACTGCAATATGCATCAACGACTGTAAGTTACCTTGTAACCGATGGCAAGATGCAAATCCGCAGGCTTGGGATGAAACCTCAGGTCGATTCGTTCTCCGTTGTCCCGGATTATGTATTTGGCCCCTGGGTACTGAGAATTCCCTCGCTTCACCAACACAGTCAAACTGTGAAGTGCGACAGAAAAATCACAATACAGTTATTGCCATCACTAGCAAGACTAAAAACAAAGATAAAAGTCAAACCTTGATGTAGTGCCACGCTTTGTTTCGGCACATTTTGCGGCACGAAGCAAGGATGACACTAAATTGGAGTTACGGTATATTTGGGTCAGAGACGAAAATTTAGTTGCGGGTTTCTATTGAAGGCAAATTAGGCTTGTTTACATTATTTTTAGGCTACTGAGTCTGTTTTATGAGAGAGATATAGTCAAAATAAATGAATTAAACTTCAGATGTACGACTTTTCATTTTTTACTGCAATTTTTTTAAATATGTCTCAAGACAGAATACATTTCATTTGTCACACATATTATGCTTTGGAAAAGAGCAGGGCTCTTGCTCAATGTTTTGTTTGCATTTCAGTTTATATCATGTGCCATCATGAAAGAATCACCAATTTGTTCAGGATAGCTCCCATTTTTTTCAATGAAAGAAGGTAAAATACAAGAACAAAAATATTCTTCAACAATGTAAATTCAAAAATAGAGTTTTCAAAATTACTTTGAGTTTTTATGCAAGAATGGGGAAATGTGATTTTCAGTTACAACAAAAGGGTATCAGAGAAATGCCATAAATTTTTTTTGGAACATTTTTCATTCATGAGTATCATGACAAAGATTTATCATGGTACCAAGTGAGTTGGCACTAAATTGGGGTTCTGTTGCAAACACAATGCAGGGAGATTTTCCTCAGATTTTAACGTTAAATTACTATCTGAAACAAACGTTCTAATGTTTAAAAAAAAAAAACTGAAGCAAGTCACTCCAAATTTTGAGTATTTATGGGTGTCATGATACATTGAAAAAATGCGCTGCTTTGCTCACAAAGAGATTTAAACACAATTGGTACAAAAATCACACCCAGACTTGAAATTTTGCACTAGGAAAAAAGCATGCTTTTTCTTTTTTTTTCAGGGTGATTGTTATGAGATGCATTTTTTGCATGTTGGTGAAACTCGCTGCTTTCTAACTTGCCGCACACCCAACCAGCTGCAAGCAGTTGAACTTGGCCACTGTCACAACTTACCGCAGGGTTAACTTGCTGCTGTCACAACCTGCTGCTGTGATAAGTCACTGCCAGTGGAACTCACCACTGTAATGACTTGCTGATATCACAATTTGCCAAATGAATTGCAGCCACTTGCCATTGCATTGACTAAAATTTCAGGAAAAAAGGAATTCCCACATTCTTTCACTTCTTAACTAGGCATTCTGCTGTGTGAAATTTTTTAGAATGTATAGAGGGGGTTTCAATGAATTCCTTCATCCTGAACTAGTACTATTATGGTGGCTAAATGATGTGTATTTTATTTTCAATGGCAAGGTTTTTTCCATATTATTGTATTGTACATTTTTAAAATTGCAAACATGTTCTCTGTGAATTAAGTTTTAAAATCGTTCTAGAACTGTCTGAATGAATCTTTAAGTACAGGATGTTGAAAGAGTGGCAACTTATAACTATTGCAAGTTGTGACTGCGGTGAGAAATGATTGCGGCAACTTGTTGCAGCAGCAATAAGTTGTGACTGCGGTCACTTCAGGCTGTGGTCAGTTGCAGCAGCAGCAAGTTAGGGTGCGGCAGGTTGAAGTGCGGCAAGTTCAACAGCGGCGAATTTCATTTGCACCCATTTTTTGGCATGCGATAATTTTGCACTTGCGCAATATCACCTTTCGTCCTTTTTGCTCTCTTACAAATCGTTTCAGGGAAATTGGTGGCACTACACCCAGGATTGACTTCAAAAGTAACACAAATCATCCAGTTCACTGCCCAAATAAACTACTTGTCACGTCACTCACTCGTCTATATTAAACGGCGTCACAATCTCCGGAAACGTGAGATTCTGCGCAATGCTCCTCGGAACACCCAACTCATCAATGAACAAATTCGGATCCGGAGTGATAACCGTCCTGGCGGAAAAGTCCACACGCTTGCCCATCAAGTTCCCACGAATCCGTCCTTCCTTCGCCTTCAGCCTCGCTTTAATCGCCTTCAAGGGACGCCCAGACTTTTGCATGGCCTTCGGCAACCCCGGAATATCATTATCAATCAAAGTCGCCACGTGATACTGCAGCATCTTGATATTCTCCAAAATGATGTGCGCCGCAGCGCCGGACGATTCATTCCGCTTCAACTCGTTGTTGCACTTGATAATGTCGGACAACTTGTGAGTCAAATCGTCCTGGTTCCTCGCCGACCCAAACATGACGACGGCGGGTCTCACGCACAACGGCGGCACTGGTAAACAAGTGATGATCATCCAGTCGGGACGCGCGTACATGGGGTCCATTCCCAAAATGTAGCATTCCTCGTCCGTGATCCTCCGCAGCACTTCCCAGACGCGTTCCGCACCCAGAGATATTTTCTTCTCAGACGAGTCTTCGTTGACGTGTTTCCACTCGGCAAAGAGTTCGAGGCCCGTGCGACGGACCATGGGTTGATAGCGCCCACAGCCGCCGTGGCCGGGCTTTTTCGTGGGATTGAGGGCGTCCTCGGGGATCTCGTCGTTGGCGTCCATCTCGTCGCCGCCTTCGCAGATCATCTTGCCCTTGCAGAGGTCGTAGACGGATGCCAGGCGCCGACGGGGCTGGCCCTTGGACTTGAGCACCACGTCGCGGATCTTCGGGTGATTCTGGAAAAAAAGCAAATGGACGCATTTTTACGTAACTGCAGCGCTGGTATAAATTATCAAAGAAATTTAAATTGGCGAAGATTAATGCGATCAAGATGCGAAATTCAATCAAAGAAAAGAAGAAACCTATGATGATGCACTTCCATTTCGTGTGCCTAAAAAATAGCATGCAAAAATCAGGAGCATTGTCGTTATTCCAGAATGAAGGGATTTTTTATTCAATTTATTTTACTCGTTCTTCAGTTACCGAATTAATCTCCTTGAACACTTCTAACTGAAGCACAAATTCTGAACTCTCATGCCCTTGAGCTTAAAATGTTGATTAATTTGCGATTATTCATTAACCTATTTTCATACAAGTGGGATCTTGAATGAACAGAACACTTTATTTGCTGCTTTTCAGCGTTCACAAGGTTCAATCAAGATTCCCACAACCAAACCCCCTTCCCACCCAAGCCAAATCCACTCAATGACATTATAATCACTTCAGAGCAGGAAAGCACAAATTGATAAGAAAAATAAAAGAAAATACAGGGTTTTTTTGGGTTAGCAGGGTTCCCAGGAATGCGGAGGAATTTGATGAGAAATCATATAAAGCCAACAGCTTATCTTGATCCTTTAAGATTTCAGAAAGGGTCTCTTCATTGAATTCCAGTACTTGTAAATCTATCTTAAGCTTTTTTCTATCAGTATGAAATCCTGGACATAAGTGGGATCTTTCTACAACGATTGCCTTTGTATAAGAATTACTTTCTTGGTTCTTGGTTTTTTTTCAAGTTATCAGGGTTCCCTACAACATTAGTTCTACAACGAATTTTTTCTGTTCCCTTAAATGTCACTGTAGTGAGAGAGAGATAGAGCCCATCGTCATTACTACATTAATTAATTAATCAAATGTATTTGGGATTATTCTCATTGAATTTACACTTCGTGTTTCAGGTGTTTTGAAAATAAAAGAAAGAATAGTTGAGCAAATTAACCCATGCCTTTTCAGATTCAGCATCCTGTAAATTCATTCAAGAAGCTATTTATCATCCAGAATATTCCCAATAAAAATTTCCCGCAATTCTTCTTTGTTTCCCACAACAAAATGATTGTTTCCCTAACTCGAAACCTCTCCAAGTTGATTTTTTTTTGCTGGTCCCATGAAATTCGACTCAAGAGAGGTTAGGCAGCAGTTCTGAATGCACTGTATCCCGATGTCATTGTTTAACCTCCAATTGGAATCATTAAATAACGGTTACGGGACAACCAAAACAGCGGCAGCCCGCTAAGGGCGAGATCTCGAATTAGTTTTTATTTCCATTAATTTCTCATTATTTTTTATTATTTCTCATTAAATCTTATGCACTGCACATCAGCACATGGGCTCCTCAGCAAGAAACTCACCGGACTAACGAGAAGCTTAGAGCAATAAAAGCACACGCATCTAAGAATCTTGATCGTCTTGGTGAGGAAGCCAATGTGGAACACGGGTTTCGCCAGGTCAATGTGTCCAAAGTGTCCGGGACACTCGGTCATGTTACCGCCGCAGGTCTGACATCTGGACGTCCGGTCGATCACACCTTGACGCGGGTCCATCAGTCCGGCAAGTTTCGGTCGTCCGCCTTCCAGCGTTTCGGAGAATCTCACTCCTCCTTCGGTAACCGACATCCGTCTCTGGAAAAATAAGTAAAAAAAATTGAAAATTGTTGTCCAGAAAATTAAGCACAAGAGATTCTAGGAGTCGATCTATTGCAAAGAATAACTGCTTTCGAAAAAAAAGGATTTCAGGCGTCTGCGTAACAATTACAGTGAGACCCCCACATGCGGACACCTTGACCTGCAGACAATTCAACATAGGGACACTTATTTTCTCATACTAAATTAATAAAAAAGGCCTGACATGAGGACACTGACTCGATATAGAAACATTTTGTGATAAATTGCAAATACATTTTGTGATAAATTGCAAATACATTTCACGTCAAATTACAAGAAACAGATACTTCCAACCCTAAAATTGATGTAAGAAAAGTTCTTGGGCATTTCTCTCACAAATTTACCATCCATTTAGCTGATTTTAAAAAATTACCTCCAGCAGAGAGGGACTTCTTTCTCTCTTTTTCACTTGAATTTTATATTTTACAGAAAATGCCAACATTTCTATGTATTGTACAGAGGTATCAGTATTCAATTTCCCAAATGTCCATATTGAGTTGAAATATATGGATTGAATCAGTTTCAATTGGTAGAAATTTTTTTCGTTTTCTTGGAATTATGGTGAGTATTGTATTTTGTCAATAAAACACCAATTAAAAATTATATAATGTAAGTCTAAGGGAAAATGAGACTCGACTTTTGACTTAGGGACACTCTTGATGCACCAATTACGTCCGTATCTCGGGGTCTCACTTACCCCGCATGGTAAATGAACGCAATTCAAGAAGTGATTCATTAAATTGCAATGTTAATTTCTTTGAATGCAGAAAAACAGCTTCTCCGAATAAATAAAGCCATAACGAGTGAAGAAGACTTTCTTGAATCAAATTTGAGATAGTCAGTAAATTTTATACGACTTTTCACTCTTATCTAAAGAAATTTTCTCTAAAATATACTTTTTTCCACAGCAACCTTACCTTAGTTGCGAAGAAATCAACCAAATTAAAGTTAGATTCGAACTGTAAATCAGATTTTCAGCTTTCGCGATAATTGAAATACTGTACAATACATTCATTTGACACTATGTCATAAAATTTTCCGTTTCTCTCCACGTTTTAAAAAAGAATTCCCGTAAAATATCGGAGAAAAATTAAAATTTACTCACAATTTCATCAGGGCTCAGGATTCCGAACTGCACCCGTTTCGCCATGCGAACAGGCGCTCTCGAGTCGGAAAGGTCCATCTTGTCCCCAGAGAAGAAAATTCACAAGTATCTAGTCACAAAAAAAAAACCAAACTCCATCAGTTGGCATCCACGCTTACAACAGAGACAAAATTTTTCAGCAATCGATAATTTTCCTTTCGGAAAACTCAGACGATTAAAAGAAAGCATTCTCACCCAACAAAAACGTTTCAGAACTCCTCTGTCAGCATCAACAACAAAAAAGGCACGGGTCACAACTACATTCTATCAAAATCACAGATCTTCCAGCGACGCATGGCACTACGCCGCAGCAGGATCACTCATCACAGTGATAACAAATCACAGAAAAAACGCCCTGCAAATATATTCATTCATTATAAAAAACAAAGAAGAATATCCGAAAGACATGAATAATATTATTTAACCAGAATGCAATCAGATTATCATACACTTCATTCAATTGCCTGCTTTGTGCTTCACCATCGTTTTTCCCCCAATTCGGTGACATCACCGCTCTCAACACAAAAGTTGACATTCAAAGATTCAACTTTTTTTAAAGGTCGCATTTTTGTAATTCAACCCTTTCAAGTTTTGATTGTCCCATTTGGAAGCAACGCTGCTTTGAAGTGTGATCTTTGAACTTCAAATCCAGGTGTCCATAAAACCTTTGATTTTCTTTGTCACTGCATAGATGTCGCCTGCATATTTTAAATCTTATTAATCCAGAATTAAGTCATTCTACGTCATCAGTCAGGTTGATGATGCATTCAACACATGCCTGAAATTCTACAAAGCAAAGTTGGACAATCAAGTGAATATAACCTTGTCAAGAATCAGATAAATGAGGCAGTGCTTGCTCCAAGCATGCTTTTGAACCAAAATTACTCCAACAATTGAATCTGCGATTTACTGCATTTAACCTAAATGAACTTCATTTGGTTCTAAAATTTAGCTTTTGAAAAAACCTATTCTCATGGGCCCTTTCTTAGTGGTTACAAAAGTTGGCTTTGAAAAAAAACTTTTTTCATGGGGTCTTGACTTAATTTAATTTGTCTTTATATCAGTCACCTGCATTACAGAGCATTTTACTTTTCAAGTTGAAGTTAGGCTTGGTTCTGGAGCCTTGAATCAGGTTGAAGTGAGGTCACTAAGGTTCAATTTAGATCAGGTGGTACAGTTCCACCTCTTTAATTTTAACCTCCTCCAGTTAAAAGCCTTCCAAACCCAAGTTTCCAGTAGTGTACTACAAATCCCTTGCTTTTCGCTGTAAGATCAATGCACGTAGGAAACCTTCAACTCAAAACTTTTTGCCTCTGAATTACCATAGTCTAAATTAACTTTGCCCTTTTGCTGTTAGAATGGGACTGGATTTTAGATCATCCGATCCAGAAAATATGGACATTTTTATTTTAATGGCTCCCACAAAGGATTTTCAAATTCCTGCAAGTAGAACATAAATAAATGATTGACTCCTTCAATATTTACGACAAAAAATAATATCAACTGATGAACCTGCACGAATCAGGCTATGTTCCTCAAGTCAAATTTAATTTAGAGTTTCTTCAAACGCGGTTCAACTGTTCTTGGAAAACGTAGGTAGACAACAAAATTCAGTTGAGCTAGTGATTCAGGCGACATCTGACGAACACTTAAAAAAGTGAGGTTGGGCATCGAAGTGATATATCTTTCATAAGAAAACATTCCGAGGCTTTCAATTTTTGCAAAAGTCCATCTGAAACATCAGTGCGTCATCAAAATTGTAGAGCCTGCTTCGCCAAAAAAAAGACCTGAAATTTCATGCAATAAACAAAATAACAGCAGACTTTCGACAGGAAAACGATGATCAAGCACAGAAACAGAGGCCCTCTATAAAACATAACCCACGTTTCAATTTCCATTTACTTTTTTGTTACCATCTCAGAAAAAAAAAGCGAACACACGCGTTCACGAAATAAAATCCAAAACATCAGCCGCGATGGACTCCAAAAAAAAAAGACAAAAAAAAACGCGACATAACACAGGATCCCCTAAATCGCAAAGGAAACGAGGGCAGCTAAGAAAGAAGCCTCTTCAAAGAATCCCTTGGCCAGGAAGCTCCCAAAACTCACTGCCAAAAACTCCCATCAATTTCTCTTCTTTTTTTTTCTTCTTGTTTTTCCTCCGCTTTCCTTCTCCCCTGGCACGTGGAACATTAGTCACGAAGGAGGAGAGGAAAAAACAAAAACAAAAAACGCGGCACATCAGGTCAGCGCACGATAATATGCGATCTCTCATTTTCGCTGGTAAAATCCCCCTTGAGGGTGTCACAGGGAATGTCAGGTTTCCTTCGTCTCACGCGACGCAAGAAAGGCAAACACTGGGGATTGATAAAATGAAACAAACAGAGAAAAAAAAAGGTCAAGAGCATCTCAAGCACGCAACGGCAAGATTCTTTTCCTTTTCCCCCCTTCCTTCTTTTGACTTTCCTTTTCGCTTACTCTTCCGAAGACACCCAAATTTTTCTAGCCGATGAACGATTGGATTTTTCCGCAAGCGAAATCGTCGTGTCCTAAAAAGAGCAATAATATCTCCCTTTCAAAAAGGTCTCACTCATACACACTACTGACATAGATTCCGGCAATTTTGTCACAAGATAAAACGCGAAACAAAACGGCGGAAAAATCGCGGATAAAGAAGCCCATCATTTTGTTTTCTTTCAAAAAAGATAAAACCCGAATGGAGAGGGATCCTTGACTAGATAAAATTCTCGACCAGTTTTTCTCAAACTGTGAGGCTCCTTTTGGCTGAATTGCTTCTTTCTTTCCCACGGTTAACAATCGAGGCATTCGTTTTATTCACGTAAGTTTCAGCGTATTCGTTGAAACATTGAGAAATCCTTGACCCATCTCAACGTTCGAAAGCAGGAGTCACTCAAGTCAAATTCCACGCTTTTCCTCAAATTTGAAAAAAAACCAACGTTTTCCAAGTTACGAATTTCTAAGCTCACACTTCAATTTGATACTGTGCAAATAAATCAAATGCTCATTAAAACGCACGAATCAATCAGACCAACTGAAAGAAATTTCTGAACTTGTTTCCTGGCTCCGTATTTTGGGCTGAATTTAAATCAACGACGATGAAAACTAGCATCAAATCATTTCGGTCGATCCTTTTTCAATCGAAATTTCGAAAATTGGCGTTGTTCTGGTTCGCGACCCAAAAAAAACTTTCCGAAGTTCCCAAACACAAACGATCGCAGGAACTGCAATTCATGCAAGATTGAAGTTTTTCCAACTGATGGAGTCTTTAAAGAAATCCGTCTCAATGATCTGCGACCCACGAAAAATGAAAAGTTTACAAATAGTTTAAACGGCATATTTTGGGCATCGGAACACAAAAACCAAGTCATTACGGTAGGTCACAAACCAGAACGGTACCAAAATTTTTGAGAAAATTCCCATTTAAGATTTCCGTGTCCCCTTTGAATTCAGAAAAAAAAACTGACTTTCCACGCGTTACAGAGAACAAAAAAAATCAATTCAAATGATGGATTTGAAATTGAACTTAGGCTCGACAAATACAAAAAATTGTTTTGCCTCGTGACAAAAGGCAAAAAGGGCGTTATTCATGATTCCGCAAGTTCAACTAACGACGCAACTGTAGAACAGGGATAAAACAATTGTTTTCTTTTTTCCCCCATGGCTAGCCTCACTTGAAAAATTCCGCTAAAATCCTTCCCAAGAAAGACGGCGATCACATACAGCACTCCGCGTCTCCACTAAACACAAGCACACCTTCTCGCTTCAAAACAACAACAAAAAAGGAACTTTTTCTTGCTTCTGAGTATTTTCGGAGAGCAGAAATTTGCTGCTGCGTTCATATAGCTTCCGAACTACGGAGAAAATCGATTCACTGTTTTTTTTTAGCCCACGGCACAACACACAAAGCACTCGAAAACTCGCTTTTCGAGACTGCACAAACGCAACAAAAAAATGCCTAGGATTCGAAATGGCATAAGTTCCCGGTATTTTTTTTTCTACTCGCGTGATCCATCACAGCAGTCCATTGAGCGAGTCGCAATAAACCCAGTCGCTCAACGCGTCATGCCCAATTTTTTCTTTCTCGAAAATACCCAAAACGGATAAAACGCAGGCTTCCAAGGGTTTTTAGTGCTGAAACCCATTGCATCGCCCCACAAAAAAGTAACCATTTTGGCTTGACATCCGTTACCGACTAAAAGTGCACCAGTTAAAAAAAACCAAAAAAAAAATCATTGAGCCAACAGAAAAAAAAAACATTTGGAAGTACGCAAGTTGGCAGACCAATTCGTAAAAAATACTGCGAGGCGTTTCGTAAATCTGCACAATATTTTCCTACAGTCATATGCAATCTTATAAATTTGCATGTAGCATTCTACGCCAAAAGGTAGTTTTCATCTGAAGTTCTACAATAAATTAGCATCAAACAAGAAAAATTCCATTACGTTACTTAGGCAGATATCAAATAAAATTAAAAACAACACTCCAGTCGAAAAACCCCCATATGATCGATTTAAAAACTGTTTTTAGCTTCAGGACAAAAATTATGCGAACTTCTCGCCAAAAATCAATTCAGAAAACACCGTTCACCAGGACACACGAAGAGTTGGGAAAATTTACGAAACGCCCTCGTCACTGACAGACACACACACACACAAAAAACAGGAAAAACACAGAGAGCGACTCGCTTTGCCTTCCCTTCGCCGCAAAGAAAAAAGTCAGTTCACGAAATACTATTTAAGAATACTCAATTGATTCGAAAATTCTCCTCCGCCTTTTGATAAATGGGGGGATCAAATTCTGGACTAGCCTTCCTCAAAAGAACTAACGTCAGAAAGCAGCAACCCCAACCAGCACTCGACGAACTAGACGCCTCCCGCAAATATGCCCATCAAAAACACCGCGGCGGAACATGGGGGGAAAAAAAGTTGACACCAGCACAAAAATGTTTTGGGTAAAATGGGATACCCACCTTAATACAAGGAAAAACCGAGGAATCCACAATCATCCCTTTTTCTTCAACTCCGCGTCTAAAACAAATTTTAGAAGACAAAACAACAAAATCCGCACTGCTGATTTCCACGTGGAAGGATTCAAGCAATAGGAAATTTTCAGTCTAAAAGGATGTTTCTCCATAAATAAGGCATGTTCATGCAATAATTCCCGGCACGATAGTTAAACATTTCTTTCTATTTATAAATCAATATCATAATCGAAGAATACAACACAACATCACTACTAAAATGTCATTAAAAGAGATTCTCCACAGATATTATCATACGCCAACTTCCCTCAAAACCAGTGACGTAAATACTAAAAAAACGCCTTCCTAGCAGAATTAGCGACTGATCTAGTGTTGCAATTAACACATGCTATTTCAAGAACGATTCTGTGAAGCCTCAGGAAAAAAAATGATAATAATTAGAGTAAATACATCCCAAACTAACAAGTTTGCTGCGCTGACTTCGTTGAAACGGCTTTGAGAATACTGGTACGTTTGTACTTCGAATTTTCTACATTGCAGAAATTAAAATCTAGAAAATACGAAGTACTGTAGTAGGACTAAATTCTCCCAGTTCAACCAGCAGAAAATATCGTACCCTATTAGCAGATAAACTCAATTTAATATGTGTACTTTTTCAAGAAACGCATTGTTGTATTCAGTCAACAACAAAAAGTAACGCGAAGTTCACTCGGAAAAACATTCATGGTACCTCGAATACCAAAATGGAGGCTAGTTGTAATTCATCTTAGATCATTTCAACGGATTCAAGACAAAAAGGGTCTTCTCAAGCGATGTCAGGAGTTTTTCCAAGGGGCAGTTTTAGCAATCCAGAAAACGACTAGAACGTGAATTTCAAATATCAGCGCTTCGAGCCCTGAACAAAAAAGGACTCAATCTCAACAGTAATACTCGATTGATTAACGCAGAGAAACAGCTTTGGATCGAACACGCATTCCCCGCGTCCAGTCAGGTAAAACTTGATAAAATGACTTTGGTTGATTGCAATGAATTTCTAAAGCTTGAGTTGCAAAAAGCGACGCTAAAAATTCACAGCGTGAGGTGACAACAACAAGAAACACAAATGGGTGACGCGAAAGTTGAAAAGAATTCACGGGGATTCCTCGGTTTTTCTTCTCACTTACTTTCCTCCCTATCTCTCTTCTCTCGCCTGCTCGTCATTCTTCTCTCACACACTCGCTCTTTCTGTTTCGTTACTTGTTTGCCCGCTGATTTCGTCAAACGAGGACACAACCGTACACGTTGCTGGGTTTCCGCTTCTTTTTCCGCTTCCGGGTCGCGAGGAGGCCCGCGTCCGGCGAAGACGCCGCGGGGGCGTCCAGCGGGTGTCATGGCGTGGTGAATGTGGTGGCCGTGGGGCTGGCCCACATGGACGCTACTCCGACGCCGACTGCGGCGGCCGGCGGCATCGTCACGCCGCGGGTCGCCACCGCCACGCTCATCGACCCGCGATCGACTGCGCTGTGGGGGATGTCCTGCAGCGAGCACGGCCGATAGCGACGACACCTTCACGAAGCACACACAATCATTTTAATTCGGTTTGCTTCATTACCATCACCGATGAATCAAACCACATATTTTGCCGCAACATAGGTGTCGCTCAAATCTCAACTTCCATTTTGTCAAGTTTATGCAGAGCTTGATTAGTTAGTTCAAATTCGGTAAGTTCAGGATTGCTTCATTTCTTTTTTTGGTCACACTTTTGACTAAAACACTACTTTTTCTTGCTTTTACATTACCGTATACAGTATTTTAAATTGCTCCAACTTGGTCTACTACGGCACTAAGCCTTGCAGAAGGTCACTAGGACAATTCAAGACAATTTTTCACCAAGACAATCTGAGAAAGAGAAAATTTGAGAAAGAGAAAATTTGAGACAGACAATTTGAGAGAAGAACATATGGAGATATTTAATCCTCAAGACAGACAATTTGATAATGAGACAATTTGATACCAAGACAATTTGAGACAGAGACAATTCGAGACAGGGAGATATGTACACTGCAAGGCATGAACATTTTTAGACATGTACACTTCAAGTGAGAAACACTTTAGAGACATGTACTACAGATTTCTTATTGCTCCTGCTTCTTATTGACCCAGTCTCATAATATTCTGTGCCTAGAAATGTTTGTCTAAATTTGTTCACCACATACCCTCGAAGTAATTCGGGTCTTTTGGATCTTCAATCAGGTCAGGCAATGATAGGTAAGTATGGGACTGCTAAAGGGATTCTTGACACCGATTTTCTCTACGGAGACACTATCCTTCAAATAATTTTGCCTTTGACCTGACACACAAGTTACGTTCAATGTTCAAAAAAAGGTACAGTATCCAGAAATAAATTATCTTCGACAAATTTATTTTGGTTCCCTTAGAATTGCACAGGTCAACTGGTTTCTATTTCTGGCTGGCGATTCAAGCGCCATATTTTGAATACTGTACTCAGTAAACAAGGGTGAGCTCAAAATACAAGTGAACTCAAGATCAACTAAAAAACAAATTTCACGTGATCATAAATTCCATAGGATGGCTACTCCGGTTGAAAAGCGGAATAAAATTTCGATCGTCATTTGTACTGAACACGTTCTCAATCGCAGAACGTAAATAAATTTTTTTTTTTCACCTGGATGGTATTTCTCCACCTTCCGGAGGGTCATCAATCGGTGGCACAGGAGTCATCCAGGTCGAAACAGGTTTGCAGCCCTCTGATTTTGCTGACCTCGGACCAGGTCCTTCACCGCTCTCTTCAGAATCCGCTTGATCCGCACTTCGCAATCTGACAACAGGAAAATAAAAAACGTCCCTTTCAGATAACGAAAGTCTCTCGGACATATCTCGTATCCCATAATTCTCTTTAATATTTCCCAAGGGTTCTGATGCCTAGGAACAAACAGTGCACTTATCCAAATCACAGCACTTCAATAGATTGCGTTTCAGTGCTGCACATCTCCAGTTGTCTCCCCTCAAAGCACATCACGAACCAAAACAACATTCATTACTAGGAATTTCTGAAGTTACGTAAAACGCACTGGACAGTTGATAAATTCTCATCACACAACACCAGGAAACCAAATACAGCGAGTCCGGGTAACGACAAATTTTCGGAGGGAAAAACGTGCCCAACGAAAATTTCCCACGAAACCATTTTTTTTTATACTGAAAAACGCTCGAATTCTCCAACTTTTTGAGGAAGGTCTTCGTATTTAAAAAATCGAGGAAAATAAAAGAAGGGCAAAGGTTTCCCTTCACTTGTTTTGAAAATTTGTGCAATTGAGAAAATCCAGACTCTAGACTTCTAGAGCACATACTTGCCAGGATTACTAAAATGTTATGCTACTCACTTTAAAATTGTACGCTGACAACTAGAAATATTCAGTTATTTTTTAGGGTTTATTGTCGTTTTTTGGTACGTGTCTGAAACGAAAAAAATGATGTAAAATTTAATTTTCAGGAAATTGCGTTGCGCATAACGAAAATCCCAGACAACAAAACGCATCCAGGAATTGATCAGTTTCGTAATGCGGAGACTCACTGTAATTTCTGAAATGACATCAACAAGAAGGCAATCAAAGACCAAACGTCGGAATGAAATTGAATACAGTAAAGAAACCAATACTTTTAAACGCTTCGCAACCTGAAAACGAATAATTAAAAAAAAATCTAGGTAAGACAATTAACTGGATGAAGTAAGCGAAATTTTCCTGCATCCAAATTGTACGCTCGTAAATGTTTCTCGCGGGCTTTGACGACCAGTGAAACGAGCGGCACACTTTCCTTAATTAAAAAGCCCTCCTGAAAATCGTGGAATATCTTCCGGAGTCTCTTTCAAGCACCTTGGAGACTCAAATCCCCCACAGTAACATTTCCGCATCCAAAATCAGCAGGCATAAAACATTTTAGAACATATTGAGTAATACGCAGGTTAAACAAAGAAAAGATCAACATTCCTGATAATGTCAAAAACATAACTGACTAGTACTGATCATGAATACATTTTCTTTCAGAGGAATACGTGATGATTGAAAAACAGCATTTATACAAGATTCCATCCTTAAAAAACAAAAGAAACATCCGGATAATCCACGTTTCCGAACGCGGGACTCAAGGTTTTCCTCGCATTCCAATAAATAAATTTAAAAAAAAGACAGAAAAGGTGAAACTGACGTCCGTGTCATGCATAAATTAAATGCAATCGCAGGAAGCATCTCAAACGCCGTCCTTCTGTATCTGTTCTACATCTCAATCGTGCCAAGAAAGAAAAAGCACTTCAGCCTCGTTAAAAATTAATTCTCGCCCTCGAGCAAACTGCACTCGGAGGACCGTCGGATCTCCGGATGCATAATCTAGTATTGGATAAAAAAGGACGCATCTCGAAGAAAGCTTTTGCTGCCTCATGAAAAATAACTGAATGAAGCTAATATATACATATAAAAAATAAAAAAGCGAGAGTATCAGTAACACTTGATATCCGTTCGACATTACTATTTTTTTCTAACGAATTGATGTTCTTCAGAAAAAAAAGGTAAAAATTTTAAATACTGTACAGTACTGAGCTTACAAATTCGAAACGAATTTATAGCAGCATATTTCTTGCCACTTTTTGCAAAATACTGTAATTTAAATATTAAAATCGAAAAAGGAGAAGAAAATACACCATCCAACTTTGTTTGAACATATTAATTAGCCAATATTTATCGGATCAAAACACTTCCTCTTTAAATTTGCGAATGAAGTTAAGATTGTTTCATCAACAGATGATATTTGTCTTAACTTTCATAAGCAATGATGAACTTGACTTCGAAATGCAATACGCAATCAAAAATACGAAAGCCATTGAATATGACGTGAGACGCTTGTTTCTAGCCAAATTGAGAAAAAATTGAAATGAAATGCATCAAAATCAAAATTTTGACTTGAATTGAAACCAAATTGAATTAAAGTTACATTTTTTTCCATTGAAAACGATTCTTCGTTAAACTTTTTTCGATAAGCAATTAAGCATCAAGTATTATGAGCACCTGAAGTTTTCAAAATTTTCAAAGATGTGACGCGCACCCTATTTTCTTCCCACTTGAATCCGAAAAAAAAGTGCACGTGGTACTCTAGTAAATACCATGTGACGTTTCATGCTGGGTTCTCAGTTAAGAGAGGACAGGCATAAAAGAGGCACCAAATTCCGATTATTCACCTCGACACTAAGCCAGCATCACCAGCGCTAAGGGGGTGTGAATGCACCATGGCTTCGCTGTTGCCCGAACCGGGTCTCGATCTCCACCGTTGAAACTTGAGGTTGAGATCCGACTCGTCAGTGATGTATTTTTCGCTCGAGTTCTTCCGTCGTCGAAGCAGTCGCGGTACGGGCGCCGACCGGCAATTTTCTTCCGACACATGGCCTTCGTCACCAGTCCTACAAGATAACCGGAAAATTGAAGCCCAATATTGTACAGTAAACCGCAAGTCTTTCGCAAAAAATACAGAAACCTCAAGGTGGGGCGAAAACTCGGGAAATTCGTAGGTCAATGCCGAAGAAAGATAATAAAAAGGTAAAATGCATAAAATGCATAAAATGTCGATTCAGGAAGAAAAAACCTGGATAAGCGGCACAACTGAACAAAACTAAAGACTGCAGTTTTTTGATGAAAACATCGCAATTCCATTCATCAAAAAATGAATACTGTACAGAAAATACAGTCTAACCTTTACAATTAAAATTCAAAGAGAACAGCAAAAAATTCGAGTTAGGGAAACAAGTATTTTTCTGTTGGGAGGGGGGGGGGGAGGAAGAATTACAGTACAGGAAATTGCAATTAGTGATATTCTGGGCTTTAAATGAGTTGACGGGATGCTGAACTTGGAGGTAAAGGATTATTTGCTCAATTAGTCTTTCACTTCCTGTCAAAATGTATCAGGTTAAATTGTTATTGCTTTTCTCTTTTCTGTGTCAATAGAATACAGTACAGTATTAACAAAATGGTCTCCAGAAAATTTCACATCATAAATTGGACTAGGAGATCTGATTTATTCCCTCAATCACAGAAGTAAGTATTAAATTAAAAAATGAATTGTATGGATTGTTACATAATGGAACCTGTCCTCGCTTTCATCAATTCCCTTGCGTAATTTTTCATTCCGTGCGGATCAAATTCAGTGGAGCGATTTCTCTTCTACAGTTGGCGCCACAGAATCGCAAAAATCGTCCAACTGAAAATCATTTAATATTCTTTTAATTGTCTGGTTGCTTCTGCATTACTGAAAGGTCCCTGGAACTACGACAAATTTCGTAAGAACCCCATCAACTCTTCTATAAGAAACATTTTCTCAAGGGTAGTGTATTTTTAAATTCCATGTTCTAATAATACAGCATACCGTAATTCAAAATATAATTACAAGAAATTCAATTCTATGCTTTTTGCAAGAAGATGAATCAAAAGTTTCAGAAGATATCGCAATCAAAAATCTTGTTTTCACCCTTTACACAGAGAAATGGCACAAGTATCGTTTCCGAAGATTTGAAAAATATATAAAGACCAGGTTGGTTTCCAAGAATTGAAAAATTCCTTCAAAATTAAATCTCTTGAATTTCAGAAAAATAATACGCTCTTGTTCACATGGAATTGTTGAAACGCAAGTCCGGCATAAAAAGTTATCTCCTGGCTTTTTCCCCATTGCAAATTTCCAATAAATAATTCAAAAATGTCGACGGAAAGGAGTATTTTCAACCCACTCATTATTTCCAGCGCTGTTTCGTCGTCGCAGGCTCGTCTCACCACTGTCACCATTGTCAGCAGTGTCGAACCGAGTCTCTGTGACAAAAACTTGGGTCTCGTAAAAGCCAGGCTCGTCACCAAAACCTGCCGGAGGAGCAGCGATTTCGTCCTTCGTTTCGTCCGAATCTCCCAAGCGACGAATTCCGTCTAGAACCTAGACAAACAAATTTTTAAACTCACTCGGAAATTATTTCCTATATTTCAGAATAATATGCGGTAGAACTCAGATTGTCCCGGCTAATTGCTTGGTTTTCTTACCATGAAAACAAAATGAAACATACAATCGAATACAGTACTGTACCAAGGATATTTGCATTGAAGACGTGAATAGAATTCAAAGATTAACTGGAAATATTTCAAACACGCGCGAAAATCTGGCTCCTAGGCCGGATAATTACTAAATTAGTGGGAAAATTAACCGGCTCACGTCAAAATTACGAACTAGACAGTCCTCTTCCTTTCCTGAATTTAAACGTAGTTTGACCGAACGTCTCGAAAATCGGAAATGTTTCCCAGGAATTCCATCGTAATCAAAAATGCCTGCGAAAAAAATTAAGGAAAACGCAAAATCCGGTGATGAAACGTTACCTTAACCCTTGACCGACGTTTCACAAATAAATCATCCCGATTACTTTCAAAATTGTTTTCGAAATTTTCGTTGGAGTATTTCATACATTTTCGCCAACACGTTGAATGAGGTCAATACTGCATCTTCATGCATCATTCTACAGTAATTTAAGCCTCACACTCGATCTAGGTAATTTCACTTGATTTTTTTAGTCCTTACTCTGTGGGAAATGAAAGCACCATAGAATTCAATTCCCGAATTTTTCAAATACTGTACACTTGTACAGTACACAATATTCTGGTGAACGGGTAATAATCGTACGCGGAAAAAATTTTGTACAAATAGAAAATTAAAAAAAATAATGAGCACTTTGGATTCCTCAATGCTGAATTCAAGCTTCAAACATCCATGTTTTTATATCGTTCAGTAGTTTGAACGAAATGTTCTCGCCATTTCGAACATCTTTTTTTTCTGAGGGAGGTTCTTTCTTCTTTCAACCAAAACAGGAACTATAAAATTAAACGTCATTCAAAAGCGATTGAATTGATTTCTTCTTCTAGCCAGAATTAAGTCTTCTTTATTTTATTTTTCCGTTCAGTTTGTAATCGTTTTCAGAAGGACAGACGTACCGATCTCAGCTCGGCCTTTCTCGTCGCTTCATCGAAGTACTCAGTTTTCGTGCACCCATTTTCCCCTGGACTCGGAGCATCGTAATAAATCGAAGGCTCGGGTTCGTGAGCCACTCTCACGTCAGACAGAATCCTACCAGGACTGCTCCTGTATTCCATAGGCGGGTCTGCTTGGACAGTGGCCGAAGAGCACATGGCCATCCTGTCCACAACGCGGATCTCGAGCTTTCCGGACACTGGTACAGGATTAAGTCCCTCTTCATCGTCTTCGTCGTCGTCTTCTTCTTCCTCTTCGTCTCCTTCTTCGTCTCGGATTTGATTGCTCACGTCGTTGGCCTTGTTGTGGTACGAGTGTTGGGGGATGATGATGGCGCTGGGCGGAGGTTTGGACGTCGGAGGCGCGCTCAGTCTTCTACAAGGACCTGTTGAAAGAAAAAAATCAGTTTTTATAGGTTTCAAATTGGCCACAATTCATATTCAAGGAAATATTTGTACATTTTTTGCAAGAGAACAAATTGTGAATACTGCGCGGTTGCACCATCAATGCAGCATAACAGTTGGAAAAACTAATTGGCTCCCTCCTGTACAACAAGTGAGCTTGTTGGAATGCTCCATTAGTCTTGGGGAAAAGCCATAAAAGGGGGACGCAAACCCCAAATCTTGGTCATTTCTTTGCCAAAAGCAAGCCTGTCACCAAAAGCGTCAGAAGAGCATTAAAAATTTGTATTGCGTCTTGGACTGCATTTAATTTACACTCGGCGTTTCTTCAGCATTTGTGAGACTGGAAACTCAGTGAAAACGAACTCTACCCAAAAGAATCTTCACACATATATTTTTCCGCGTCTTATGAATACGATTTAAAACGCATCAAATTTCAAATCTACGTCAGCTGTTGCAAGCTTCTATCTACGCAGACAATCCTCAGCATTAAATTGAGATCATAAGAATGATCCGGAGTAACTTCGATACGCTTGGCACTTT